ATGTTAGATCTATTTTTAATATTTTGAGAAAACTGCATACTCTTCCTATTGAGGCGATAGACAAGTTTACATTTCCACCAGCAGCGTATAAGGTCCCCTTTCTCAACATCTTCCCTAATAGTTGTTTCTGGTCTTTTAAATATGGATCTTTCTCACAGGTTTGAGATGGTACCACATCGTGGTTTTGATTTGCCTTTTCCTGATATCTAGTGATGATGAGCATTTTTTTCATATGCATATTTGTCATCTGTGTGCTTTTCTGGAGAAGTTTTTTAGTCCTTGTGCCCATGTTTTGATTGGATTTGGAGGTTTTACTGTTGCTGTTCAGTTGTATGAATTTTTTGTAGATCTTAGCTATTGGCCTCTTGTCAGATATGTGATGTGCAAATATTTTCTGCCATTCGGTGGGGTATATTTTCATTTTAAGCACAGTGTCATTTTGTCTTTAGTTTACTTATCTATTTCCTTGGTCAGGTTTTTATTTGTAGATTTTCTTCTCCGAATTAGAAGAGCTCCTTTCAACATTTATTGCAGTTGGAGACCAGTGTTTACAAATTCTTTCAATTTCTGTTTGTCTGGGAAGGCATTTATTTCTCTCTCATATCTGAAGGAGAGTATTTCAGGGTATGTAGTATTCTTGTCTGGCAGTTTTTATTTTTCAGTATTTTGAATATGTCATTCTGTTTTCTCCTTGCTTGTATGGTTGCTTCAGAGAACTCTGATGTAAGCCTGATTGGGAGTACCTTTACAGATGATCTGTTTTTTTTTCCCTAGCTTCCTTCAATATTCTGTCTTTGTCTTGAACTCTTGGATGTTTCACATCTTCGTGTAGGTCTCATTACATTTAGATAACCAGGTGTTCTTTTAACTTCATGGGCTTGTATGTTTAGTTCCTTCACCAGCTTTGGGAAGTTTTCCTCTATCATTTCTTTGAGCAAGATCTCTGTTCCTTCTTTCTCTTCTGCTCCTAGATGCTTATGTTGCCTTTCCTAATGAATCAGTTCATTCTTGAAGGGTTTCTTGATTCTTTTTCTTTATATTTCTCTTTCTTCTTCCTCCTGGGTCCTTTGTGCATTATAACTTTTGATGTCACTAATTCAGTCTTGCATGTGGTCTATTCTGCTTCCATAGCTTCTCCAGAATATTTTATTGCTTCTGTTGATCTTTTCACATCCTGTGTAGCCATTATTTTCTCATTTAAATCTTCACCTTGTGTTTTCTGTTCATTAATTTTATTGCTCACGTCATTCATTTGCTTTTCTGAGTTTTCTTCCTGTTCTTTGAATTATTGATAGGGGGATAAAATCTTCCATGTCTTCGTGGTTGGATTTTGGAAGGTTATTCTTGCCTTGTGATAACGTAGTCCCTTGATATGTCAAGGTGCCATGTGCTGTATTTTTCTGTTAGCCTATTTTGCTTCTTTTGATTTCTGTATTTTTTAAATGTTACAGTAGCAATAATTTAGACTTTTGCTGTTCTACTTTTCCAGCAGGTGGCACTGTCTTCCTCCCTCCCTCCCTCTTCCCTCCTCCCTGCCTCCTTCCCTCCCTCTCCCTCCTTCCTCCTTCCTATCCTCTCTCCTTCCTTCCTTCCTTCCCTCCCTCTCTCCTCCCTCCATTCCTCTCTTTTTCTTTCTTTTTTGAAGTTTTCCCAGCTTTACAATGTTAGATGTTGGCCTTTCCAGATCTTGAAGCTGTTGAGTCGGGGTTGGGGAAGGGCCTGGAGGGTCCAAGCTCTGGTGGGCAGGCGGCAGGGTGTTAGCTCATGCCTGTAGCACCACTGAATCCCTCCACTGTAGGGTTTCACGCCCATGTCTCTAGACTGAGTGCTCTCAGCAAGGTCCACAAGGTCAGCACATCCTAAGGGCTATGGGAATGGAGACACAGCCAACTGCACTGTCTTTATTCCTTTCACTGGGCAACCGGCCTGCTGGGAGCACCCCAGCTCTTCTGCACATGTCTCCCCTCTGACTCTGTGTTGTGGCTCCACACTGCTAGGCTCGGTCCCTTCTGAGGTATGCCAGCGAGGCAGCAGAGCTGTGGTTCGTAAGGCAGCCTCCCACCTGTGACCACAACCCCCAGTTGTCTGTCTCCACCAACTTCTGGCTTATGCATGAATCTTTTTGTTGTCCTTTCTGGTGTGGTCTGGTCTCCGATGTCTGAGACGTGTTCCAGTTTTGCCCCAGACATGGTTCCCTGGGTGCAGTTCCAATGTGGGTCAGCCTTTTTGGATCATCCTAAAGGCCTGCTCTGAGGCCATTTTTGACTTTCCGGAATTTTTTATCTCCTCTATTGATCTTTTTATGTTTTGCAACCCTGTTCTTTTCTTTTTGGTCATTCATTTTATTTCTCATCTGATTCATCTGTTTTTCTGAATTTTGTTTTTAACTTTTCAGAGTTATCTCTTGGACTTGTTTTCTGCATTTTCTACTATTTCTTTGAATGTCTTTATCATGACAGTGTTTAATTCTGTACCAAGAGGAGGATAAAATCTTCCATGTCTTTGTGGTTCGATTATGGAGAGTTAATTGTTCTTTATCTATAGTGACATATTCCGTTGAGGTCTCAAGCTGTGCCACGTGTTGTTTTTTTTTTTTTTGTCTGCCCATTTTGCTGTTTTAGATGTCCCTATTTTTTTAAAGCACCTGAAAGAGTTGCATAAATATTTGCACTACTTCTGCTTTTCCATCAAGTGGCACAGTGGTTTTATTTAATTTTAATTATTATTTATTTATTTATTGGTCTTTCTCAACTTCTTTAGGCCAGGAGGCCTAATCTTGAATACTGAGTCAGGGATTAAGGGAGGGCCCTGGAAGGGACCAATTATTGTTTGAAATGTGCCGTGGGGGAGGCGCTGGGTTGTTCTTGTGGCACTGCCCATGCCCCTCCTCTCTGGGCTTCAGACCAGAGTCTGCAGGCTGCGCGCTGTCAGTGCACTTCAGGAGGTCAGTACCAGTCCTGAGGGGTGGGGAAGGCTGAGTGCTGCCCAGTGCACTATGGTCCTTATTCTTTCTACCGGGAACCTGGTTTGACAGGAGTGGCCCAGCTCCTCTGTACATGTTTCCCTTCAGTCAGGGGTGTGCACTTCCACACCGTTCAGGTCTCCCTGCCCCAGACCACAACTCGAGGAGATGCCCTCCTTGTACCTCTTGTTTAATGAAACATGAGTCTCTTCAGGTGCAGTCCATGCTGGTCGCCAATATCCAAGAGCTGCTCCAGTTTCACCCCAAGTCACAGGACCCTCCAGGTTTATTGCCTCTCTGTATAACTTTCAAATTATCCGCCTAAGAGCAATGCAACAGACCTCTTAAGACACCATCTTGATCGAATTCCTGCCTAGCCAGCTGATAGCTGATGTAAAATTAGAATAAAAATTGATCCAGTTCTGGTTCCTATTTTGCTAAATCCTGTTAATTATAAAGTAAGAAATTCAGTCATACGATCAGTAAAATGTTGCTGCCTAAGTATATGATCAGACTTATTTACTTTGTGTATTTTTGTATACTTCAGTTGGGGAGATAATACCAACAGTCTATCATTTTGATTTTTATCTTAATTTTCAAGGTGACTATATCCTGACAATATCAATGATACATGGTAATACCAGGTTCAGATGATACCTTTTAAAAAAATTATTAACTCATTTGTATAGCAGTTTCAGGTTTATACCAAATTGGGCATAAAGTGCAGAGTTCCCACATGTCCCAGATCCCCATATATGCACAGCCTCCCCCATTGTTGACATCCTGCACCAGAGGTACATTTGTTACAACTCCTGAGCTTACACTGATTGGTTCGTTATTATCACCCAGGGTCTGTATTTACCTTAGGATTCACTCTTGGTGTTGTGAATTCTATAGGTGTGTGCATTATGACAATGTATAGTGACATATCCAATAATTGTAGTGTTATGCAGAATAGCTTCATGTCCATAAAATCCTCCATGCTCTGCCTACTCATCCCTCCATTTTCCTAATCTCTGGTGACCACTGATCTTTTTTTACTGTCTCCATAGCTTTGTCTTTTGCAGAATGTCTTGTGGAATCCTACTGTGACTATCTTTTTGAATGTTTAAAAAGTTAAAATCCAAGGAAGTTGAATGTAGTTTTTTAAGATGTTCTTTGTCCTTTATGGTTTTTGTTGTTGTTCATCAGCACAGTATCTGATAAAATATGCCTTATAAGCTCGAAAAGCATGCTCGAAAAGCATCTGATAAAATATGCCTTATAAGCTCGAAAAGCATGCTCAAAAATATGCCTTATAAGCTCGAAAAGCAAGCTTTCTGTCACATAATGAGGAGGGTTGAGAAAAATGGCATCATGCACTACTGCACAGCATTAACTGGACCATCCTGGTCTATGAGGTGGGTACAGAAAAAGACCCTACCAATGGAAGGAGACAGTTTGAACAGGTTGCAATTAATAAAACTAGAATCATAAAGTCTGTACCTATCTTGTACTTGAAAGTAAAACTAGAGAATCTATTTCCTCTTTTGCCCTGCTACAAAATAAGTGACTGGAAACTGACCTTCCTTGTGATAGGGTGTTTCATCCTAAACTGAACAGTCTCTACTAAAGAGGTGAAGTTGTGTTGTGTCGCAGCAAGATTATTATACTTCCTCTAACTACTATTGGTGAACCGCCACAAAAATCATGTTATTTAAGTTTGACAATGGCAATGTATGGCACTGTATGCTGGTTCTGCTAGTGATACCATTTCATGTTAGTTTCATTTCATTGTTAACAGCAGTTCATGTGTAGGTACCAAATTGTGGTAAATTATTTCAAGTTTCATGCATTTGATAAATATAAAAGGTCAAGGACATAAGAGTTTTTAACACATTAATTACATACTGATAGTAGAATGCTCACTCTAATATAATCTCCAGGTGTGGCTCCAAAGACATGCATTTTAGCAAAACATCAGATTTACACTTGTATTTTAATACTCTGTATTTTTCTGTTATTGATTTAAAATGTATTTTACTTTTGTCTTTACTAGTGGACGAGAGTTCTGAAGAAGATTCTTTAAGCAGGTATGAGTTTATTGGTTAAAAATATTATTTGTTAATGAAGTGCAGAGAAAAGGAACTAGTATTTGTTGAGTGTTTTACCCTGGACTACACGCTATATTATGTGGTTAACAGCTTATCTCATGTAGTCATCTCCATAGTTTTTCAAAGTAGCTGTGCTGCTATAGCTCTTTTTTTGCTAATTAGGTAACTGTGGTTCTGGAATCTTGATTGGCTCATGATTCCATTGTTTACAAAGCTACTGACCCATGAGTTGACAGTCATCCTGCTCTCTCAAAAATCCATTCTGTCTTTCAGTGTAGATTGACATGTACTTGTGTAGCACTGGCACTGGAGAGATCTAAATCAGATCAGCTGAGAAAGTTAACTTTAGTTTGTGTTAACTTTGCTTTAGACTTCTTCTAAGAAACCTGGTTTGTCCAAGATTTGACCTAAATAATTTGACAGTTGCAGTGTCAAATTACCTTGTTTTCACCCTCAAAAGTTTTAAGGCAGATCTCAGAAGTTATAGGCAGAACTTTAGAGCTATGTACGCAAGCCCTAATCAGCCAAGTCTTCTTAGGTATAATGAGTGATACCTTACACTCCTTCAGATGGATTGTCTTACTGTAAATGAAGAATAGCTGTGGTCTCTCTGTGGTCTCTGGAATGGAATAAGCAGGGAAGTGACATGTTTCAAGAGGAACAACACTGGGTTGGAGAGTGATAAGGGTTTAGAAAAGAGATGTGAATATTAGGGTTTATAGCAACTCAGATAAATTACAGGAGCAATGGACACAGTATGTTGGAAGTTGTGTAGAAAGGCACATGAAGTGGAGGGCTCAGGGGAACCCTCAACAGGCTACTGCTTGTTTGTTTAATTGAAGGAACCAGCAAACTTTAAGGTGTCTATTGAAATATATAATAACTTGAGCCACTTGTTACAGTAAATAGAATGTGATATCATCTCCCTCCACCTCAGATTATAGAGGGTAGCTTAGATCCCTTCAAAAATTAGGAGACTTGATATTACTGAACTACATAGGTCAGGACTTTCGGTAAAAACAAAGTATTCTTAGACTTTGCCAATATATGGGCTGTCACTTTTTGTGTGGGAACTAAGAATGTGATTTTACTGAATATTTTACATGTTTGGAGAGGTAGAATAAGAAACAGAAAACTGGGAACTTTTTTTAAAAACTCGAGATCAAATTTAAATTATATCAAGAAACTTAATATTTAAATAACCTACTTTTACTTGAATTTTTTAATACAGAAATTAAATCACTCATATTTAGTCAGTATTTTACCTCTTAAGGCTTTCCAGCAAACCTGGCATTGATGATTCATGGCCTACATCAGACGATGAAGACTTACATTTTGAAACCAAGGTAAAATGTTCTTTTGTGAAAGTAATTTTCTTGCTCTTAATTTAGTTTCTCTTTATTATCTGAGTGTTGTTTTCATTCATGAATCACTGCTCCACAAGGTGGCTTCTTTTTTTTTTTTCATTTTCGCAACTGAATTTACACAATCATTTGTCTTCATCTTTTTGACAAACAAAATAGGAACTACTTACATTGTTTGCCATTCCAGCCCATCTATATAAAATACTGCTCAGAAGTAAATTCTCATTTTCCCCTACAATTAAAAATTCACACAAGTATAAATCAGACAAGCACATTTTGAATTATAATAAATAATAAATTTAAATTTTATAGTGTTAGTTTTTTTTTCAATACTACTTTTAAGCTACTTATAGTTTTTATTTTTGGTTATCCTGATAAAGAAAATAATCTAATGGATATCATAGTATTTGTTTAATAATAAGTTGTAGATAAAGGAAATAACATTTGGAAATATTATTGTGATATTGTATTTATTTTATACAATTTGATACTTGCTATTCTTTTTTTTTTTTTTTTTTTTTAAATATTAAATTTATTTTTATATTCCCCATACAATTGCAAACGCCCCATTCTGACCCAATCCTTCCCCTCCCGCCCCCCCCCCCAAAAAGTGTCTCTGGTTCATAGTTTTTTGTTGATTTTGATTTTCACTTTCTTATATTCATTTTCCTGGTCCCTTATTTAAGTTTTCTAGATTCCTGCTATGAGTGAGACCATCCGGTATTTTTCTTTTTCTTTTTGGCTTATTTCGCTGAGCATGATCCCTTCCAGTGCCATCCATGTTGCTGCAAATTGCATGTGTTTATCTTTTTTGAATGCTGAGTAATATTCCATGGTATATATGTACCACATCTTCTTGATCCAGTCATCTATTTTTGGGCATTTGGGTTGTTTCCAAAGCTTAGCTATTGTAAACAGTGCTGCTATAAACATAGGAGTGCAGGTGCTCTTTGGAATTGATGTTTCTGTGTCCTTTGGGTAAATACCTAGGAGTGGAATTGCTGGATCATATGGAAGCTCTATGTTTAGTAGGTCCAGAAATCTCCACACAGCTCTCCATAGTGGTTGGACCAGTTTGCACTCCCACCAACAGTGCACAAGAGTTCCTTTTTCTCCACATCCTCGCCAACATTTGTTGTTGCTAGTTTTTTTAATATGTGCCATTCTCACTGGTGTGAGATGGTATCTCATGATAGTTTTGATTTGCATTTCCCTGATTACAAGTGATGTTGAACATTTTTTCATATGTCTGTTGGCCATTTGCATTTCCTCTTCAGAGAAGTTTCTTTTTAGCTCTTCTGCCCATTTTTTGACTGGATTATTTTCTTTGTTGTTGCTGAGTCTCATCAGCTCTTTGCAGATTTTTGTGATCAGTCCTTTATCATTAGTGTTGGGTGCAAAAATGTTCTCCCAGTTGGTGGGGTTTCTCTTTGTTTTTGTTATTGTCTCTTTTGCTGTGCAGAAGCTCTTTAATTTGATGTAGTCCCAGCTGTTTATCTTTCTCTTCACTATCACTGCTTTGGGTGATGTGTCTGTAAAGATGTCTTTGATGTGCAAATCCCGTAGTGTTTCGCCTATATTTCCTTCTATGTATTTTATGGTTTCAGGTCTTATGTCTAGTTCTTTAATCCATTTTGAGTTGATTTTTGTGTATGGTGTGAGGTAGTGGTCAAGCTTCATTCTTTTGCATGTAGCGACCCAGTTTTCCCAGCACCATTTATTGAACAAACTTTCTTTGCTCCAATGCATAGTCTTTGCTCCTTTGTCAAAGATTAGTTGACCATAAATCTGTGGGTTTATTTCTGGATTTTCTATTCGATTCCATTGGTCTGTATGTCTGTTCTTGTTCCAATACCATGCAGTTTTGATGATTATGGCTTTGTAGTATAGCTTGAAGTCTGGGAGTGTGATGCCTCCATTTCCTTCTTTTTTTTTCAGTAGAGCTTTGGCTATTCGGGGTTTTTGGTGATTCCATATGAATTTCATCAATAATTGTTCTATTTCTTTGAAGAATGCCATTGAGATTTTGATTGGAATAGCATTGAATCTGTATATTGCTTTTGGTAGGATGGCCATTTTAATAATGTTTATTCTTCCAATCCATGAGCAGGGGATGTCTTTCCATTTCTTTGTGTCTTCTTCTATTTCTTTTAACAGTGTTTTATAGTTTTCTTTGTATAGGTCCTTTACCTTTTGTTAGATTTATTCCCAAATATTTGATTTTTTTTGTTTCGATAATAAAAGGGGTGGTTTTTTTGATTTCTTCTTCTTCAGATTTATTGTTTGTGTATAGGAAGGCTACTGACTTTTGCGTGTTGATTTTGTATCCTGCCACTTTACTGAATTGATTGATGAGTTGAATTAGTTTTTCTGTGGAGATTTTGGGGTTCTCTATGTATATTATCATATCATCTGCAAATAGTGATAGTTTGACTTCTTCTTTTCCTATTTGGATTCCTTGGATGTCTTTCTCTTGTCTTATTGCTCTGGCTAGGACTTCCAGTATTATATTGAAAAGCAGTGGTGAGAGTGGACATCCTTGTCTTGTTCCAGATCTTAATGGAATTGCTTTCAGCTTTTCACCATTGAGAATGATACTGGCTGTTGGCTTGTCATAGATGGCCTTTATGATGTTGAGGTATGTTCCTTGTATCCCAAGAATTTCAAGGGCTTTTATCATGAATGGGTGTTGCACTTTGTCAAAAGCTTTCTCAGCATCTATTGATATTATCATATGGTTTTTATATTTCTTTTTGTTGATGTGTTGGATAACGTTGATTGATTTTCGGATGTTAAACCATCCTTGTGCCCCTGGAATGAATCCAACTTGGTCGTGGTGAATTATCTTATGGATACATTGTTGGATTCTGATAGCTAAAATTTTATTGAGGATTTTTGCATCAGTGTTCATTAGGGAGATTGGCCTATAGTTTTCCTTTTTTGTGTTGTCCTTATTCGGTTTTGGTATTAGTGTAATATTGGCTTCATAGAACGTGTTTGGTATTGTCCCTTCCTTCTCAATTTTTTGGAAGAGTTTGTGAAGGATAGGCACTAATTCGTCTCTGAATGTTTGGTAGAATTCATTTGTAAATCCATCAGGTCCTGGGCTTTTGTTTTTGGGGAGGTTTTTAATTACCATTTCAATTTCGCTGCTTGTAATTGGTCTGTTTAGGTGTTCTATTTCTTCTTTATCTAGCTTTGGGTGATTGTAGAGTTGTAGGAATTTGTCCATCTCCTCTAGATTGTTGAACTTGTTTCCATATAACTGTTCATAGTAGTTACTGATTATTCTTTTGATTTCTGCTGTGTCCGTTGTGATTTCTCCTCTTTCATTTATGACCCTGTTTATTTGTGCTTTCTCCCTTTTTTCCTTTGTGAGCCTGGCTAGGGGTTTGTCTATTTTATTTATTTTTTCAAAGAACCAGCTCTTGGTTTCATTGATCTTTTGGAGTGTTTTTTTAGTTTCAATTTCATTTATTTCTGCTTTGGTTTTTATTATTTCTTTTCTTCTACTGGTTCTGGGGTTTTTTTGTTGTTCTTTTTCTAGATCTTTGAGCTTCGAGATTAGGTTGTTTCTTTGAGTTCTTTCTTGTTTTTTGATGTGAGCTTCTATTGCTATATATTTTCCTCTTATTACTGCTTTTGCTGCATCCCATACATTTAGGATATTGGTGTCCTCCTTGTCATTCAATTCAAAGAATTTTTTAATTTCTTCTTTGATCTCCTCGTTAGTCCAGTGGTCTTCCAGTAGTGTGGCTTTTAATCTCCATGAGGTAGGATAGTTCCTTGCCTTCTTTTTATGATTTATTTCTAGTTTGATGCCTTCGTGGTCAGAAAAGATGGTTGGTATGATTTCAATCTTGGTGTATCTGTTGATGTTTGTCTTGTGCCCCAGTATGTGATCGATCCTGGAGAATGATCCGTGTGCGCTTGAGAAGAATGTGTACTCCGTTTTTTTTGGGTTTAGTGTTCTATAGATGTCTATTAAGCCCAAATGCTCTAGGTCCTTATTTAGAGCTTTAGTTTCTTTACTTATTTTTTGTCTTGTTGATCTATCCATTGTTGATAGTGGTGTGTTGAAGTCTCCCACTACATATGTGTTTTCTCTGATGTCTGTTTTCAGAGAGGACAACAGTTGTCTGATATATTTTGGTGCTCTTTCGTTTGGTGAGTATATGTTAATGAGTGTTATTTCTTCTTGAAGTATTGTCCCCTTAATCATAATGTAGTGACCATTGGGGTCTCTTTTTATTTTTTTGAGTTTGAAGTCTGTTTTATCTGATATAAGTATAGCTGTTCCTGCTTTCTTTTTTGGCCCATTTGCTTGTAGGATTGTTTTCCATCCTTTGACTTTGAGCCTATTTTTATCTTTTGTAGCTAAATGTGTTTCCTGGAGACAGCAAAAGGTTGGGTTTTGTTTCTTAATCCAGGCTGCAACTCTGTGTCTTTTTATTGAAGAGTTTAGTCCATTTACATTTAGAGTTAATATTGATATGTTAGCATCTGTATTTGCCATTATGTTTGTCTTTCCTTTGATTTTATTTATTTATTCTTTTAATAACTTTTTTTTTTTTTTTTTGGTCTTCTTTCGTTGTTATTCGTCCCTCTGAGGTTCTGGCTTTAGGATTCCTTGTAGTATTTTTTGGAGTGGGGGTTTAGTCGCAATGAAATTCCGGAGTTTCTCTTTGTCTGGGAAGGTCCATATTCTTTCTTCATGGAGGAAAGAGAGCTTTGCGGGATAGAGTATTCTTGGTTGGCATCTGTTTTCTTGGAGTCTGTTGACTATGTCCCTCCACTCTCTCCTTGCCCGTAGTGTTTCTTCAGAGAAGTCTGATGTCAGCCTGATTGGTTTTCCTTTGAATGTTATCTGTTTCTTCCCTCTTGTCAGCTTCATTATTTTTTCCTTGTCCTGGATTCTTGGGAGCTTTACTATTATGTGTCTTGCTGTGTTTTTCCTTTCGTCGTGGAAGTTTGGTGTTCTTCTTGCTTCTTGTATATCTATTTTCAGCTCCTTCTTCTCATTTGGGAAGTTCTCTTCAATTATATCCATGAATATTTTCTCTGTTCCTACATCTCTCTCCTCTCCTTCTGGAATTCCTATAACTCTTATATTTCCTTTCCTCATGGAGTCAGATAGTTCCCGAAGTCTTTCTTCATTCTTTTTCCTTCGTACTTCTCTTTCCTTTTCTGTTTTGGTTCTTTTTATTTCTGTGTCTTCAAGATTACTTATTCGTTCTTCCATTTCATCTATTCTGCTTTCATTGCTTTTCCCAGAGTTCTTTAGTTCCTCCATTAATTCTTTGATCTCCTGCATTTCTCTTACTTCCCTCTTTAGGGACTCAATTTCCTTCTTCTGATCTATCACTTTTTTAATCATGGCAATTTTAAATTCTCTTTCTGGAAGGCTCAGAAGTTCTTCCAAGTTGCTGTCGTTGCAATCTGGGGATTGGTTTTCTTTTTGTGGTGTGCTTCTTTCCTGAGGAGTTTTTAGGTTGCGTGTGGTTCTTCTACTCCCTACTGTCTGTTTTCTAATTTGTCGTATGCATTGGGACACTGTGTTGCTCGGACTGACTGACATCTTGGGTGAACTTCTCCGCTCCCCTCTGGCTCTTCCAGGAGCCATCTCTGTCTTCTGGGGGAGCTTTCTGCTGGTTTTAGGCAGTTTTTACTGAAGAAATGTCCCTGTTCTCAAATGGCGAAGCGGGATGCAGTCCCTGCGCCTCCGGTTTCAGGCACACTCTTCTGCGCACCCGGTCTGCCCCGGACGTGGGTGCCTGCTCCCTCTGTGGGCTCAGACTGCTGGTCGGAAGGGGCCTGGCGTGGAATAACTTCCCGGCTGGCCACTGGGTCCTCCAGAAACCTTCTGCCCTTTTCAAGCAGTCTTATATAGGGTGTTAGTGACTTTTTTTTCCTGGTCGCTAGGTGGCGCCAGAGATCTCTCCTATTGTCCTTGGGGGGCTGTTTTTCGCCTCCCCCCACCCCGTGGGACAGAGAACAGAGCGGGAATGGTAGGGTACACCTCAACAGCTTTGGGGTGCTGTGTCTGCCTTGTGCCCCACCGTCGTGGAGAAACCACGCCCCGAATTTTCGTGCCCCGGGTCTCAGTTCAAAGCCCTCAGTTCCAGGACGCGGGCTGTAGCCCAGTTCAGTGGCGCGGGAATGGCGCCTTTTGCACCGCTCCCGTGCCTGGGCGCCTGGTTCCTGCTCACTCAGGGAGGGACCTTCACCTCAGTGAGGACCTCCGCGCGTCTCCCCGCAAGCCTAGGTCGTCTCCCCGCAAGCCTAGGTCGCAGGCGCGGGGACCTGGGCAGCCGCGATCCCGGTCTGCACTTGCTTTTCAAGTGCGCCGAGTGCGCCGCGTTCCCGCGCCAGCTTACCGGCAGCCCGGGCTGTGTGCGCGTCTCCCGGGGTCTTTGTTCTTCTCTATTGGCGCCCGGAGCCGTTCGCTCACCGCCGCGGGGGATCCTGCAGGGTTCGCCTCAGCTCCCGTTCACGGGGTGTGGTGGCTGCAATAGTTCCTTTCCACGCACAGTCCCGCTTGCTGCGTCGTTTGTTCTTGTGGGCTGTTTTGGTTTGTTGTTTCCTCCTCTCTGCCGGTCGGAGAGTGCCGCCTCTGTGGGCGGGGGAGGGGAGCAGGGTTCTGTGCTTCCCTCCCTTCTAGTCCTCTTTTATGGCCACTTTCTTCTTCGGGCAGTTCGCTGGCGTCACCCGTTTATCTTCCGTGTCCCAGTTCTCACTGGGACCTGCCGCTTTTCCTCCCTATTCACTTTTTTTAATCGATACTTGCTATTCTTAAAGCTGTTATTTTTTTTCCATAGACTGTCCCGAAACTGAACTTTGCCAAGCTAATGTCTGCTTCTCAGCAATGCGGGAAAAACAGTAAGCCATCTGAAGACTATTTTTGTGTTATTCACTGATTTGAAAATACAGATATTCTTATGTACTCTTTACTTTGTTTTTACTATAGTACAAGCCAAATGTGCCATCATGAGACCAGAAAGTAGATCCTTATTTGAGGATAACAATTCTGAGAGTGAAAATGAAGATGTAGTTGAAACCCTTTCTAAGCCATCAATCAAAGTCCAGGACTTTTCTCATCCTGCCTTTCCATCACCTGAGCCTCTCAAGTCTTTAGCAATCCTGGATCATACAAAAGTAAGTAATTTTGTTCTGTTTTTAAAACTTCACCCCCCATGCTTGTGTACATAACATTCCCCTGATCCTTACCGTGATGGAAAGAATCCTAGAAAGAAATTTAATTCCTTGAGATTACAGTAGAGCACAGAATAACCAAAGAGAGATGTACAAAGGATTGAGATTTATAAAGATTGATGAGAGGAAACAATTCTTAAGTATACTATTGTGGACAGAAAAAATGAGAAAGCAACTAGGAATAACAGCTAGATGAACAGAAGATGAGAAGGATGAAGGGGAGAATTCATGTGAGAATAAGATAAATATGAAGATTGGATAAGACAGTGAGATGAGAAAGATTATTAATAAAACATGACAGAAATGTGGGATTAAGTGAAAGCAGGAACACTATCATAAAATATATAGAAATTATTTTATTATTATTTTTTAAAAGATTTATTTATTTATACAAGAACCGGGTACGGGAGGGAGAGAGGATTCACCAGAGACAGAGTGGGGAGCACAAGAGGCAGACTAATTGAAATATACTGCTGAGGGGAGCAGCGGGTGTGGCAGGAGAGGTCTGAGGCACCAGGTGGGTATTTCCCCGGCCGGCCGGGATCAAACCCTCATTGCAGAGGCTGTGGGCAGCTCCACAGTGCTGCACCCAACCGCCTGCGCCACCAGGGAGGCACCGATAGAAATTATTTTAAATGCAAATTAACAAAGCCAGATCATAAAAAACAATGTTCAGATTCTCCTGAATGTCTTATAGCTGATTTTTATGATGAACTGAAAGAAAACTTATTCCTCACTTTCTGTAAGGTTAATAAAATGATGACATAGTTAATATAACAAAACCTGTATTCATAGACAATAGAAAGTGAAATGTTTAAGGTCTTACTGATATTTTATGAATTTTGAATTTTTGGCTCTTCTGTTTCTTGTGGTTTCTAACTTTTATTTGATGGAGACTTTAATTCTTTAACTATCTTAGCTTACTGTTGGTATAATCTTGGTGTAGGAATTTGATCTTTTTGAGAATAAAGAGAGGAAATAAGTTACCCATTTATTTTAGTCTTTTCAGTAATTAAAATTTCTCATTATGTAAAGGAGGTTCTTAATCTCTGTCCATTAATGAGAAATTAAATTTAAGCTGCAGCACTCAAAGACAAAATAATATGGAAATAATTTTTTCTGTGAAGATTCTGATGTATCTTTTCCTGATATTATCTGTGTGTAATGAATACATATATGCACATCAAATGAATGGAATCACAATTTATGATTTTTACCCCTAATATAAATATCCTTATTGTTAAAGAATCATAAGGAAAGATTTCCAACAGGACATGCAAAATTATTTCTGGAAGATGATTTTCACTTTTTACATATCTGTAGCAGTGTGTACATTTCCTATTATTCTTGGGAAACTTTATTTACCTTATTTTTCATAGTTGTTAAGCCTAACACGTCAAGTCTTTCATACCTAAAACTCAGATGTCCTGATGACTTTATTATTCAATCCCTTTCTTCTTTCCTTATGTGAGTATTGGATCTTGCTTGATAATTGTAGATATATTTGAAGACTTTCACATCTTCAACTTGTATAATTGCAGTTTTATTAATTTCTTATGCTAGTTCCTTTCTCCAATCTTACCATTCTATGTGGCATAAGCAGAAAATGAGTTATTTTTGTGCTGTTCACAGAGGATGGGAAAACCATTTGAATTTTAAACTAGTGTTTTATATATTTTCTTGCATCAGAGTAATACTTAAAAGCACCACTTAATTCTGTAATTACACAAGCATATCTCCTTTAGACTTTAAAACTTGCCTTTTAAAATTAATTTTAAAACAGACTCTTTTTGTAGCATCTTGAACTAGTGTTTTTTAATGAAATCTTTTCATTAAGCTTAAAAATGTATATTACTGTGACATCCCAGAAGTGAATATTTGTTTTTACTTGTGAGGAGTACATTTTGTATCCTTGGAACAAATGTGAATTATGTAGCTGAAAAAATCCCACTTTCTCCCCACTGCTCTTATTTTCATTTTCAAAATTTTAGTGTTCAGTGTAGGCTTGCATAATTCTACCTGTTTAGTATAATTTACGAATACTTATCTTCTTAACATGTTTTCCTGAGTAGGGAACATCATTGCTTCCTGTAGTAGAAATATTTCTAATCCAAATGTATTCATGCAATTTTTCTTCTAAGTCTCCTGGTTCCTCAAATTTGATATATTTGAAACTAAAGTCATTTTCCCTAAGATTTTCCTCTATCCTGACTCTTTGTAATTTACTTTGACATCTGTTTTTGCCATTCTAGCAAATAGCACCCCTGAAACCTCAAGAAGCAAGCAAAATCTTGGTTTTCAATCCTCCTTGAAATCATCAATTCAGTCACTCACCAAACAATATTTTTGCTTGCTTAACATTTTTGATATCTTATTACCGTAACTTACTTTCTCACTATAGTTCTGAAATACTTTTCTCGTTTGCTTCCCTTGTATCATCTTCACAATGCCAACAGTGACTTTACTAACTTATATTTGCACTGATGTAACACCACTGTTTATTTAATCCATACTTGTACTTGAAGGGAAAGTTCATATGCTCACATGACACTTGACTTTTTTTGGTTTGTCTCTGATTCTCTACTTTTATTTTTCCATCCCACTCCTAATAACTGAGTTCCTGTGTTACCACATTACCCTGATAGTGTCGTTGACTCTCTTGCTTTGTATGTCATTATTTTGCTTCTATCACCTTTCCAGAATACTCTCACTCCCTTCTCCCTGCATTTGTTGTATATTTCAAGATACAACCCTATCCTGTGAGCTGTTCCTGAGCTTTCCAGGTACAACTAACTGTGCTCTCCTTTGTGCCCTGGTTGTAATTTATTCATCTTAGTTGAAGAACTAGTGAATTACACTTTTCTGTTCTTAATTTTCTTCATGTATTTCTACCCTAACTGAAATATTGGGAGAATCTGTCTTTTATTTATATTTCCAGCTTTTTCCAGGCAGGGCTGGTGCCTATACTTGAGTATAGTAAATGTTGTGGATTTACTGATGGATTAGTTCAGTGAGTAAGCATGTGAATGAATGGTTGTTTTCTGAAGTTGGGTTTTTGTTTTGCCTTTACAGGAAGAAGCAACAAAGCCAGCAGTTGGAAATGAAGAAAAGGGTAATGATATTATTGATATTGCTCCACAAGAGCACATAAATAATTACAATTTGGCTTATGTTGATGGAGCACACAAAAATAATAGAAGTGGTAAGTGAGTGACTATTAATATATTTCTATCCTTAAATGGTGGTATAAACAAACCTAAAGTTTCTAGATCCAAATGAGATATCCACTTCTTTCTATTTTTTTGAAGCAACATTGGTTTACAGCATGGCTTGTGTTTTAGAGGTACAGCGTCTCCCCCTTCAGGTGCTGTCTCTACTCCACAACCCTCACCAAAGCCCCCATAGTCCCCTGGGCTCCCATCCCACTTTGGTCTTGCCCCTTCCCCTCTCCCTCTCTAGTAGCCTCAGTAATAAAGTCAGCTTTCTAGGTTCTGTTATTGGTTTGACTTTATCTGACCCTTTGGTTTATTTCTCTATTGCCACATATGAGTGACACCATTCAGTATTTGCCTTTATTCTTCTGTCTTATTTTTTTTTTGTAAGATGTATTCATTTATGCATACAAGAACTGGGGTACAGGCCAGAGGTTTTGGGGGTGAGAGGATTCACAAGAGACAAAGTGGGGAACAGAACAGGTAGACTGACTGAAATACACTGCTGAGGAGAGCGGCGGGTGAGCCAGGAGAGGTCTCCCGCACCATGTGGGTAGCTCCCTGGCCGGGGATCGAACTCATGCTGCAGCAGCTGCAGATAGCTTCATAGGTTGTGTCTTAACCCCTTGTGCCACCAGGGAGGCCCCTGTCTTATTTTGCTTAGCTAATTCCCTACAGCTCCATCCATGGTATCTCAAATGGCAAGGGTTTATCTCTTTGTAATAGCCAAGTCGTATTCTATTGCACATATATACCATATATCCTTATCTACTCATCTGTTTTTGGGCACTTAGTTTCCATAGCTTGGTTATTGTCAGTAGTGCTGCAATAAGGAGTGCATGTGTCCCTTCAAATTAGTGTTTTTCTGTTCTTTGGATAGTCACCTAGGAGTGGAATTATTGGGTCATATGGTACATCCATTTTTAATATTTTGAGAAACTTCCAAACTATATTCCATAGGGGATGGAGGGACCAGTTTACATTCCCATCAACAGTGTATAAGGATTCCTTTTTCTCCACATCCTCACCAATGCTTGTTTCTGGATTTTGAGATATACACACACACACACACACACACACACACACACATATATGTGTGTGTGTTTATGTATGTATGTATGTATGTATATGTATGTATGTGTGTGTGTATATATATATACACACACACATATATATATATATCTCCTTGCTTGTAATTCATCTGCTCAGATTTTCTTGTTTCCTCACTGTTCAACCTGGGATGGTTGTATATTTCCAAGAATTTATCCATCTCCTCTAGGGTATTCAGCTTAACAGCATACAGAATGTTCATAGTAAACTCTTATGATTCTCTGAATCTCTAAGATATTTGTTATGAATTCTCCTCTTTAATTTCTGGTCCTATTTGAATTCTCCCTTCTTTCCTTTGTGAGCCTATTTACAGGTTTGCCTATTTTGTTTATTGTTTCAAAGTACCAACTTTTGGTTTCGTTTATCTTTGGGACTGTCATTTTGACTTTTACTTCATTTATTTCTGCCCTAATTTTTATTATTTCCTTCTTTCTACTGGCTTTTTTCTTCTTCTTTTTTTCTAGTTCCTTACAGTGAGCTATAAGATTATTTGATCTTTTGTTCATTTTATATATGTGGGCCTGTGTTGCTATATGCTATATACTTCCCTCTTCATGCTGCTTTTGCTATGTCCCATAAGTTCTGAAAGGTTTGTCCTCATTTTTGTCTCAAGGTATTTTTTAATTTACCTTTGATTTCTTCATTAATCCAGTAGTTACTCAGTAGTGTATTATTCAGTCTCCACATCCACATATTAGAAGTTTTTTCCTTCCTTCATTTTTGATTGATTTCTAGTTTGATACCATTGTGGTCAGAGGAGAAGCTTGGTATGATTTCAGTTTTTATGAATTTGTCGATACTTGTCTTGTGACCCACTCTGTGGTCAATCCTGGAGAATGTCCCATGTGCACTTGAGAAGAATATGTATTGAGCTTTTGGGAGGGTGGGGTGCACTGCCCTATGAAAGTCTTTTAAGCCCATATGGTCTAATTATTTAAGGCTACTTGTCCTTACTTTCTGTGTGGTTAATCTGCCCATTGGTAAAAGGGAATGTTGAAGCCCTAGCCATGAATGTGTTTTTTCCAAAGTCTATATTTATATTTGATAGTGATTACCTTATATATTTCGATGCTCCTTGGTTTGGTGAGTATAATATTGATGAGTATTATGACTTCCCGATGTGTTTTTTCCTTAAATCATTTATTGTGTTTATCCCTGTCTCTCATGTTTTTCAGCTGGAGATCTATTTTATCTGCTATTGTCCCATTTGCTTGTGGGATTGTTTCCCAACTCTTTAGTCTGAGCCTGGAGACAGCAGAAAGTTAGATTCTGTTTTCTAATCTAATCAGTCACTCTGTGCCTTTTTGAGCTCTGTACTTGACAGGAATAATGATCTTGCATGTCTTTGGTTAGGCTCGCGAGTGTTCTTTCTCTGAGTTGTAGTGTTCCTCTGAGAACTTAGGTTGCTGCTTTTAGTGTTTCTTCACCTCCCCGTTATTTGCTTTCTAAATATTAAAGCTACAGAGCTTCTACATTTCCGGTAGATGGCACTGTATGTCAGGGAGAAGTAAAATGTAGCTGGGTCATCAGGGGCGGGGCTGAGAGGGGTGGTCCCAAAGAAGTCCATCACTAGTGATAGTTGTGCATGTGGGCTGGGCTTATGCCTGTGTTACCTCCATTTGTACATAACCCCTAAGGGTGTATCCCTCCTTCCAAGTCAACCAGTCAATATCTATTTCCTTTAAGTATTTTTCTTTTGCTTGCTTTCTTCATAAGTATACCAGCTTTTTCTTCCTGAAACTTCTTCAACCCTCTGAAATTCCTTTCTGCTATAATATTTTATGGAAATATTCATAAACATAGACTTTTTAAAAATAATTCATAGTAATAGACATTGTCTTTAATGTATCTGTACCTATGTTTTATAGATATGATGTCAGAATTAGGATTAGGAGAAGAGGAAGATACAGAATCACCTTGGGATTCCGAGGTACTGTCTTTTATTAATTTTTTCCCACTGTAAGCATTGAATGACATTAAAACATAAAAGACTCTGATTTGACTTGATTTTCTCATCTCTGTATTTTCCCATTAAATTATTTCATTATAGATTTAATATATAATTAATAACATGCCAAATTTAATACTACTTCATAGTACAATGCTGCTAATTGTCAAGAGTGAAATTTTATCATACAGGAATCTAAGAAGTAGAATAAAATAGCAAATTAAACACAATGGATGTAGGGGGGGAAAGTATATTAAGAAAAGAACAGAAATTCATGAAATTGAAAAACGTACTAGAGAAAATAATTTCTAATAATATTGTTAAATATCTAACAAAACTGATCTTAAAAAACAAGAGAAAATAAAAATCATCCATATCTAGTTCACACAAACACTTATTTTTTTTATTTTAACATTTATCACTTTTTTTAAAATAAATTTTATTTTTATATTCCCCATACAATTGCAACCCCCTTATTTTGACCCTAATCCCTCCTCTCCCTGCACCCCATCCCCCATAGAGTGTCTCTGGTTCATAGTTGTTTGTTGATTTTGATATTTTCTTTCTTATAGTTATTCTTTTTCCTGGTCCCTTATTTAAGTTTTCTAGATTCCTGCTATGAGTGAGACCATCCAGTATTTTTCTTTTTCTTTCTGGCTTATTTCGCTGAGCATGATCTCCTCCAGCTCCATCCATGTTGCTGCAAATGGCATGTGTTTATCTTTTTTGAACGCTGAGTAATATTCCATGATGTATATGTACCACATCTTCTTGATCCAGTCATCTATTTTTGAGCATTTGGGTTGTTTCCAAAGTTTAGCTATTGTAAACAGTGCTGCTATAAACATAGGGGTGCAGGTGCTCTTTGGAATTGATGTTTCTGTGTCCTTTGGATAAATACCTAGGAGTGGAATTGCTGGATCATATGGAAGCTCTATGTTTAGTAGGTCCAGAAATCTACACACAGCTCTCCATAGTGGTTGGAGCAGTTTGCACTCCCACCAACAGTGCAGGAGAGTTCCTTTTTCTCCACACCCTCGCCAACATTTGTTGTTGCTAGTTTTTTTAATATGTGCCATTCTCACTGGTGTAAGATGGTATCTCAGTGTGGTTTTGATTTGCATTTCCCTGATGACAAGTGATGTTGAACATTTTTTCATATGCCTGTTGGCCATTTGCATTTCCTCTTCAGAGAAGTTTCTTTTTAGCTCTTCTGCCCATTTTTAACAGGACTATTTTCTTTGTTGTTGTTGAGTCTCATCAGCTCTTTGCAGATTTTTGTGATCAGTCCTTTATCATTAGTGTTGTGTGCAAAAATGTTCTCCCAGTCGGTGGGGTTTCTCTTTGTTTGGGTTATTGTCTCTTTTGCTGTGCAGAAGCTCTTTAATTTGATGTAGTCTCAGCTGTTTATCTTTACCTTCACTATCACTGCTTTGGGTAATGTGTCTGTAAAGATGTCTTTTATGTGCATATCACGTAGTGTTTCGCCTATATTTCCTTCTGTGTATTTTATGGTTTCAGGTATTATGTCTAGTTCTTTAATCCATTTTGAGTTGGTTTTTCTGCATGGTGTGAGGTAGTGGTCAAGCTTCATTCTTTTGCATGTAGCAACCCAGTTTTCCCAGCACCGTTTATTGAACAAACTTTCTTTGTTCCAATGCATAGTCTTTGCTCCTTTGTCAAAGATTAGTTGACCATAAATCTGTGGGTTTATTTCTGGATTTTCTATTGAATTCCATTGGTCTGTGTATCTGTTCTTGTTCCAATACCATGCAGTTTTCATAATTATGGCTTTGTAGTATAGTTTGAAGTCTGGAAGTATTATGCCTCCATTCCCTTCTTTTTTGTTCAGGAGAGCTTTGGCTATTCGGGGTTTTTGGTGATTCCATATGAATTTCATCAATAATTGTTCTATTTCTTTGAAGAATGACATTGAAATTTTGATTGGAATAGCATTGAATCTGTATATTGCTTTTGATTGGATGGCCATTTGAATAATGTTTATTCTTCCAATCCATGAGCAGGGGATGTCTTTCCATTTCTTTGTGTCTTCTTCTATTTCTTTTAACAGTGTTTTATAGTTTTCTTTGTATAGGTCTTTTACCTCTTTTATTAGATTTATTCCCAAGTATTTGATTTTTTTGTTTAGATAATAAAAGGGATTTTTTTTTTAATTTCTTCTTCAGATTTATTGTTTGTGTATAGGAAGGCTACTGACTTATGCGTGTTGATTTTGTATCCTGCCACTTTACTGAACTGATTGATGAGTTGAATTAGTTTTTCTGTGGAGTTTTTGGGGTTCTCTGTGTATATTATCATATCAACTGCAAATAGTGATAGTTTGACTTCTTCTTTTCCTATTTGGATTCCTTGTTTGTCTTTCTCCTGTCTATTGCTCTGGCTAGGACTTCCAGTATTATATTGAAAAGCAGTGGTGAGAGTGGACATCCTTGTCTTGTTCCAGATATTAATGGAAATGCTTTCAGCTTTTCACCATTCATAGTGATACTGGCTGTTGGCTTCTCATATATGGCCTTTATGATGTTGAGATATGTTCCTTGTATCCCAAGAATTTCAAGGGCTTTTATCATGAATGGGTGTTGCACTTTGTCGAAAGCTTTCTCAGCATCTATTGATATTATCATATGGTTTATATATTTCTTTTTGTTGATGTGTTGGATAACGTTGATTGATTTTCGGATGTTGAACCATCCTTGTGTCCCTGGAATGAATCCTACTTTGTCGTGGTGAATTATCTTATGGATACATTGTTGGATTCTGGTAGCTAAAGTTTTATTGAGGATTTTTGCATCAGTGTTCATTAGGGAGATTGGCCTGTAGTTTTCCTTTTTTGTCTTGTCCTTGATTGGTTTTGGTATTAGTGTAATGTTGGCTTCATAGAACGTGTTTGGTATTGTCCCTTCCTTCTCAATTTTTTGGAAGAGTTTGGAAGGATAGTCACTAATTCGTCTCTGAATGTTTGGTAGAATTCATATGTAAATCCATCAGGTCCTGGGCTTTTGTTTTTGGGGAGGTTTTTGATTACCATTTCAATTTTGCTGCTTGTAGTTGGTCCATTTAGGTGTTCTATTTCTTCTTTATCTAGCTTTGGGTGATTGTAGAGTTGTAGGAATTTGTCCATCTCCTCTAGATTATTGAACTTGTTTCCATATAACTGTTCATCGTAGTTACTGATTATTCTTTTGATTTCTGCTGTGTCCGTTGTGATTTCTCCTCTTTCATTTATGAACCTGTTTATTTGTGCTTTATCCCTTTTTTCCTTTGTGAGCCTGGCTAGGGGTTTGTCTATTTTATTTATTTTTTCAAAGAACCAGCTCTTGGTTTCATTGATCTTTTGGAGTGTTTTTTTAGTTTCAATTTCATTTATTTCTGCTTTGGTTTTTATTATTTCTTTTCTTCTACTGGTTTTGGGGTTTTTTTGTTGTTCTTTTTCTAGATCTTTGAGCTTCGAGATTAGGTTGTTTCTTTGAGTTCTTTCTTGTTTCTTGATGTGAGTCTCTATTGCTATATAGTTTCCTCTAATCACTGCTTTTGCTATGTCCCATATGTTTAGGAAATTGGTGTCCTCCTTGTCATTCAATTCAAAGAATTTTTTAATTTCTTCTTTGATCTCCTCATTAGTCCAGTGGTCTTCCAGTAGTGTGGTTTTCAATCTCCATGAGGTAGGAGAGTTCTTTGCCTTCTTTTTATGGTTTATTTCTAGTTTGATGCCTTCATGGTCAGAAAAGATGGTTGGTATGATTTCAATCTTGGTGTATCTGCTGATGTTTGTCTTGTGCCCCAGTATGTGATTGATCCTGGAGAATGATCCGTGTGTGCTTGAGAAAAATGTGTACTCCGTTTTTTTTGGGTTTAGTGTTCTATAGATGTCTGTTAAGCCTAAGCACTCTAGATCCTTATATAGAGCTTTAGTGTCTTTACATATTTTTTGTCTCATTGATCTATCCATTGTTGATAGTGGTGTGTTGAAATCTCCCACTACGTATGTGTTTTCTCTGATGTCTGTTTTCAGAGATGACAATAGTTGTCTGATGTATTTTGGTGCTCCTTCGTTTGGTGAATATATGTTAATGAGTATTATTTCTTCTTGAAGTATTGTCCCCTTGATCATAGTGTAGTGACCGTTGGGGTCTCTTTTTATCTTTTTTGAGTTTGAAATCTGTTTTATCTGATATAAGTAGAGCTGTTCCTGCTTTCTTTTTTGGTCCATTTGCTTGTAGGATTGTTTTCCATCCTTTCACGTTGAGTCTATTTTTATCTTTTGTAGCTAAATGTGCTTCCTGGAGACAGCAAAAGGTTGGGTTTTGTTTCTTAATCCAGCCTGCGAGTCTGTGTCTTTTTTTATTGAAGAGTTTAGTCCATTTACATTTAGAGTTAATATTGATATGTTAGCATCTCTATTTGCCATTATATTTGTCTTTCCTTTGATTATATTTATTCTTTTAATAACTTTTTTTTTTTTTTTGGCCTTCTTTCGTTGTTATTCGTCCCTCTGAGGTTCTGGCTTTAGGACTCCTTGTAGTATTTTTTGGAGTGGAGGTTTAGTCATAATGAAATTCCATAGTTTCTGTTTGTCTGGGAAGGTCCTTATTCTTTCTTCATAGAGGAAGGAGAGCTTTGTGGGATAGCGTATTCTTGGTTGGCATCTGTTTTCTTGGAGTCTGTTGACTATGTCCCTCCACTCTCTCCTTGCCTGTAGTGTTTCTTCGGAGAAGTCTGATGTCAGCCTGATTGGTTTTCCTTTGAATGTTATCTGTTTCTTCCCTCTTGTCAGCTTCATTATTTTTTCCTTGCCCTGGATTCTTGGAGCTTTACTATTATGTGTCTTGCTGTATTTTTCCTTTCGTCGTGGAAGTTTGGTGTTCTTCTTGCTTCTTGCATATCAATTTTCAGCTCCTTCTTCACATTTGGGAAGTTCTCTTCAATTATCTCCTTGAATATTTTCTCTGTTCCTACATCTCTCTCCTCTCCTTCTGGGATTCCTATAACTCTTATATTTCCTTTCCTCATGGAGTCAGATAGTTCCCGAAGCCTTTCTTCTGTCTTTTTCCGTCGTACTTCTCTTTCCTTTTCTGTTGTGGTTCTTTTTATTTCTGTGTCTTCAAGAGTACTTATTCGTTCTTCCATTTCATCTATTCTGCTTTCATTGCTTTTCCCAGAGTTCTTTAGTGCCTCCATTAATTCTTTGATGTCCTGCATTTCTTTTACTTCCCTCTTTTGGGATTCAATTTCATTCTTCTGATCGTTGATTATTTTTCCCTTATAATTGTTTTCCTTTATGAGTTCTGTCATTTTTTTAATCATGGCAATTTTAAATTCTCTTTCTGGAAGGCTCAGAAGTTCTTCCAAGTTACTGTCGTTGCAATCTGGTGGGTGGTTTTCTTTTTGTGGTGTGCTTTTTCCCTGGTGAGTTGCTAGGTTGCGTGTGGTTCTTCTACTCCCTACTGTCTGTTTTCTAATTTGCCGTATGAATTGGGACACTGTGTTGCTGGGACTGGCCGGCATCTTGGGTGAACTTCTCCTCTCCCCTCTGGCTCCTCCGGGAGCCATCTGTCGGTTTCAAGCAGTCTTTACTGATGAAATGTCCCTGTTTTAAAATGCCGATGTGGGGACATGCTCCCCTGCGCACCTCGTCTGTCCCGGTGGTGGGTTCCCGCTCCCCGTCTGGGCTTAGACTACAGGCCAGAAGGGGCCTGGCATGGGCAAACTTCCCAGTTCACCTCTGGCTCCTCCAGGAGCCTTCTGCTGGTTTCAGGTAGTCTTTACTGAAGAGATGTCCCTGTTCTAAAATGGCGATGCGGTATGCACTCCCTGCGTGCCCTGTCTGCCACATTTATCACTTTTTACATTTTCAGACCATATTTTCTTCCCCTCACCCCTTCAGATTGAGTCCCCATAGAATCTCCTTCCTCACGGCACCCATGCATCATCACCACCGTCCCCTGTGCTCCTCCCTCCATCCCTCTCACCCCCCCTCTCTCCTCCTCCCCTGCAGTATGTCTCTGGTTTATAATTGTCTGCACACAAACACTTTTAAAGGGAGATAAGGTGCAACTTTGTGACATTAAATTTGAAAATTTAGGTGAAATGTACAAACCATTGTGGGGGAAAATAGGAAATCTGAGTAGTCTATTTTCTGTTAAAGATGTTTAAATTGTAATAAAACAGGAATGACAAAAATTCTCCCCACAAAGAAAATCCCAGGTCCAGAGAGATCAAAAAATAAAATCTCCAGATATTTCAGCTAGACTTATTGACATCTCAAACAAAATCTTCCTTCAAATAGAGAAAATGGGAAAACTTATAATTTATTTTATGAGTCCAGCATAACACTGTTATAAAACCTTCTTCAGGACATTTCAGAAAAGAAAACTTAAAGTCCAATTTGTCTCATATGCTGAGATGCAAAAATCCTCAAGAAAATAACCTCTCAAATTTAGGTTTATTATGTGAAGGATTGCAGTGTGGCTTTGACATATAATGTTATCTTCTACATGAATGGCACAAAGAGATAATATACAATGGTCTTGTTAGATGCAGAAAAAAACATTTGATAAATGCAATATATATTTTTCACTTTAAAATAAATCCTGTAGGAACATATTTTCATTGGAGACTTCTTTCATCTATACAATAATCTATAAAAAAGGGCATATTTTATGATAAAAGCATTTGCCCTGCATTTGAGAATGGGAGAACAGTGCCTAATGTCACCATTCCTGTTCAACACAACTGGAGGTGGTGTCACTGAGCCATCCCCCAGAAACTGGAACATTTCAGGATCTGGCATTAGCTCTGTATCTGTGATGTTACTGTGCCTGTATTGATCAGGAACATCACTCTTGTCCACTGCAGTACTTCTGTTTATGCTGATTTTTGTCCATCGATGTCTTCTTTTCTCCTGTGTTCTCTATTTTATTTTCTATTTCATGTCAGCTCACCTGTACTACCACTAACTCACACTCTACCTGTAGGCTGCAATCAAACTCCATAGAAAAGATTTATACCATCATACTGGAAAACGGTTGAGCATTATCTTGAAAGGCAAAATATTTGCATTCCATGCAAACCAGGAATTTTACTCCTGAGTGTGCCATGAGGAGAATTTTGTACCTTTATATAAGGAGCAATTAGAAGCTGTAGCAGCACAGTGCACAGATTATTTTATGTTATGGGATGTGACAGATTTGTAACAGAATAGATTAATTAATCTGTTATAGAAGATAATACAATTAAGCACACAATGATGAAAATAAACACACAGAAACAATTTGCCATTTATCTATGAAAAGAACAGAAATGCATTTAAAATATGGGAAGTAATTTCATTTCAAGCTTTAGTTGTTAGATATATCACACAAATAACCAATGTTACCTTAATAAAAATAAATCTATAAAACATTGACAAATTAGAGAGAAAAGGGTTACTTTGTCTCCATGTTGAGCTAAAGTAAGATGCATGCAACATTTTAAAACTTACATTCTTCCAAAACTTAGATTCTTACTTGTTCTCCAAAATGAAGTAACCTTTTTTTTTTTTTTTTTTAAGATTTATTTATTTATTTATACAAGCACTGGGTACAGTCAGAAGCACAGGAGGGTGAGAGAATTCACCAGAGCCAGAGCGGGGAGCAGAGCAGGCAGACTGACAAAGTACACTTCTGAGGGGAGCAGCAGGCTCTGCAGGAGAGGTCTGTTGCGCCATGTGGGACCCTTGCCCAGCAGCCAGGGATCGAATTGGCGCTGCAGAGGCTGCGGGCACCTTCGCAGCCCAGTGCTCAACCGCTGAACCATCAGGGAGGCCCTACAGTGTTCTTTTTATAGGGAACAAGACATGCACCAAAGTTTTTTATGCCAAGTATGTTTTAACACTAAAAGAATTTCTATTATTACAGATAGTTTAAATTTATAACAAGTATACTCATTAGAGAATTTGTTTAAATACATATTTTTTTAAATATTCTTTTATCTTGTTGAGAAATGAAAATTAAAGGTAAGTGTTTTATAGAAATATGTGGGTAAATGAGTATTTTGTCAATGAAAACACTCTTACCTTCTTTGCTCAGTTTACTAAGCCAATTGCCAAATAAAGATGAAAGATAGAATTGACCTAGAAAGCATAGATGAGGTTTTCAATTTAAATGTTTTAGATTTTAATACATGCTTCTCTTTGTTTTTTAAGTTTAAAAATGTTTAAGCTAGGAAATTGAAATATTTTCTTAGAAAGAAATTAGGAAATCTTTCTCCCACTCATTATTTATTAATATCAAATTTAACAGAGTATTTCTGAGAGTCTTCCACAGAAATATGTTGATCATTTATCTGGAGCTGCAGACCAAAGAGGAAAAAATATGTTAACTGGAAAAGTAGATGGTAAGAAATTTATTTTTAAAGGGGTCATTTGACTGCATGTTGAGTTAAAATAAGAATAGTGATGTATTCTAATAGCCAAAGATAATCACCTAATAAATGCATACTAAGGTAAAAGAGAAGTGAAAAGGAAATAAGTTTTGTTTTCTTATCAGGTGTCAACAACAGATTACATTGAAAGGCTTTTCTTCTAAAGGGGTGTTAGTGTACTTTAAGATACTCTGAGAGCTAGGAAAATTAGGAAATAAAGAAAAGGAAAAGTGGGGATGAAGAATGAATGCGAAAGGCAGAGAGTGGAGATAGGGGCTAAATGAAGGAAAGAGAATTGGGTGTATATATAGAGGGAGGTGTTAAAAAAAATTGGCATCATTTCTCCAAAGTCTGTGCACACTTTGTAACTGTATGTCACGTTGGTAATTCTCAAAAATACGTCAAACTTTTTCGTTATTTTAATGTCTATTATGGTGATCTATGATTTGTAATCTTTGATGTGACTATTGTAATGTGACTGTTATATATGACCTGTGTCCATAAAGGCGTTGAACTTACTCAATAAATATAGGTATTCACTAGAAAAAAAAAAAATGGGAAGAGCAGAGTGTTCAAACTTGGAGAGAATGTAAAGTGAGTTCCCAGTACCAAAACTCATGGAGAAGCAGGACAAAATCTCCCCATTCTTACTGCTTTCCTCATTGTTGGGAAGACATTAAAGATTGAGATCATTTAATGCTATGTTTTATTTTCCATGGGTGAGCATCATGGATGTGGCCAACTATAAATGTGTATGCTTAAATGTTAAGTAAAATGTTGCTACCTCATAGGATAGGATCATATAGGACAAAATAAGAGAATTGAAGAGAGGAGGGTAGAGTCAGTTATGGAAAGATTAAGGAAGCAATAGCCTGATTAAAAAAAAATCCATTGCAAAGTTCATGACCTCTAATGCAGTTTCTAATGCAGAGGAAGTGATAGTGAGGAACTTGAAACTAGATTTTAAAAGGATGAGTTACAGTAAAATAAATGTGACAGCAGACTCAGTATAGATTACAGTTTCTCAAATGTTAATGCATCACTTGGGTAACTTGTTAAAAATACACATTCTGAGTTTTGTGGTGGAAATCTGCATTTCTAACAGGCTCTCAGGTGACACCATTGTTGCTTGTCCTTAGACCTTGCTCTGAGTTGCCAGGGTGTAAACTTCTCTTTAGAGAATTCTGGAAGAAGAGTCACTGGATAGCTCAAGATATAAAAGGATTAAGGAAAGCACTTCTTCGTTTTTATTTCTGAACATGTTTATAGTCAGAGGGAAACAGATGAAGAATTAAAACTATAGATAAAAGATACTGCTGCTAAGCAAAGAGAAAAGAGGAAGTGGTGAGGATAATATGTAATACATAAATTATGTATAGTCATATATATGACTAGATACTATATACATATATATGAGTACACACACATGCACACACACACACATATAATCCATGTGAAAGGTGAAGATCAAGACCACAGATCTAGAGATTTCTTTTGAAGAGGAAGGAGGATAGTGAAGGGCAGGAGGGAGGAAAAATGGTTAACTTGGTAGTTTTAGAGTTGATGAAAATTGAGAGAACTCAGTTTAGATGACTTCACTGTATTTGCACTCAAAAAAAATTTATCATTGCTTCTCCAGACAGTACTGGAAGCAGGAGAGGGTGCTGGAGTTGGGGTAAACCTTAGCCACTAATTTACCTCCTAATAACTATCAGACATCAAAAAATACATGTGGTGATTGGTGCCACGTATATTTTTCAAATTAATGAAGTTAATTTGAATATAGTAGTAGCCTTGACTTTTTTTCTTTGATAGTTATTTTTTTTATAACTTTCATAAAAATTCTTTAATGAGTATCATGATATAGCAAGCCAAATTCATTTTGGAAATGAAAGAAATTAAAGAATTTTCCCCCCTACATAGTAATACTGTTATTTTCAGTAAACCTTACACTGATTTTGAAATATAAAGATTTAAGATATCTGATAATTTTCTTGCAATTAATTTTTTTCTTTTTTGATAACCATATTTTAGAATTGAAAGTTTATATACATTATTTCTTAGATGTATTTTATATACCTTCTTGCATGAGCGGATCAACAAACTTGAAGATGTCTGAAGTAGAGGATACAAGAAATGTAGGCATTCCAGTAGCCCAGCTGGGTATGGAAAAATGTGAATATTTTTATTAACTATTATTCTACAAGTGTATAACCATGCTGATCAATTCATAACACTCTCTAAAGAGTGACAAATTATGCAATCAATTGAACTGTCGTCACAGCTGTGTACTTCCTAAATTATAAGATAAATTGAAGATATGATAAGAATATAATATATATGGTATGAGAATGATAATATGAAATATGATAAGTACTTGTAGTATAATGGTTTACCTGATTCTGATGTCTTGCACTAAATACATGCTGTTTCATTCTACCATCAGCTCTCACGTTTATCCTCTCAGCGTCATGGTTTTTTCTTGTGATTAAATAACACTTTTTCCCCATCTATCAGCATGTTCACACTGAGATATTGATACTTTTCTATTTTAGTTATAATCATTTGAAACTTAACCTTAAGTTCTGAAATATTAACTGCATGTTTTGTTAAACCTGTAGTCTTGTTCTTCATTCAGTGTTATACTGGGCTCACATTTCTCCCTGTGGCTGTCCTAACCTAAAGCCAACCAACCAAAGCCTGATGTGATCATTTCCAAAGCCCAGCATAAGGATTCAGCTTGATACTAACTCTGCCTGAATATCTTGCTGGCTTTCATATTTACATATGACTGATCATGTGTCCCTTTTGCTTTCCAGATTCTCCTGAAAAATACCATCACTTGAAGGTAGTAACTTTAATTTTTTCATTATGAATTATTAACTATAGGTTGTATGAAATGCACATTATTTATCATCTTGTTTCAAAACCCTTTCAGCCTACCATTGAAGTGAAAGATGCTATTCCTAAAAATGCAGTAGGAGTGAAAGATGTGCAAACATTTCAATCAGGTAAGTTTTGCAGCACAGATCTAACATTTCAGTCTTTTCTACTGCACTTTGCTCTGGCATTCTCAACTTCTGATGATTGATGCCTTCTTCATCATCCTGGTATTTTAGACAAATATGTGTCCTTCTGTGTGCTTCTCTCACTGTCTTGCTATAGCCTTGAATACCCTTCTCCTGCCCCTACCCCTTTGTGTCTGGCCAACCAACTTTTGAAGTCTCATTTCAGGGATTATCTCTAAAAAAGCCATGATCTCAAATAATAGCTATTGAGCAAAATAAATAGTTTCTTTATATAAGGATAATCCAAGAGATTAATCCCCACAGTGTAAGAACAGAGGGGATAGACATGTAAAGAAATAAATTGCAGTTCGAGTGATGAAGATACAAAAGAAAAATCTGTATAGTGCTATGTAGCCCCAAGGAAAGAGACATCTGTTTATCTGGGAAAAGCGTCATAATCAAGGAGGACTTAACATAGCAAGCTGAGTCTAAAAAGATGCAAAAGAATTTGTCAGAATAATACAAGAAAACATTTCCAATTATGGAAAGCTGTGCACTGATAAAGGCAGAAAAATCAACAGTGATTTTGGAAACCATGAATAATGCAGTTAAAGCTTCATGTGCTATTTAATAGTGTGACTTTATTGGTTAGTAATGTATACTTTAAAATTGTGTTTCATATATAGTTTTTCCCCTTGATGTTGAATGGGTAAATTTGTGAGTGAGTGAACCCTTGAGCTGTTTGTACCTGGAATCAAATTTTCCCAGATGATCTTGAAGTTTTAGATAGTTAGAAATAATTTCTTTCTTTTTTTTTTTTAAAGATTTATTTATTTATTTATTTATACAAGCACTGGGTATAGTCAGAAGTGCAGGAGGGTGAGAGAATTCACCAGAGCCAGAGCAGGGAGCAGAACAGGCAGAAGGATCGAAGTACACTGCTGAGGGGAGCAGCGGGCGGCAGAAGAGGTCTGCGCACCATGTGGGACCCTCACCCGGCAGCCGGGGATCGAACTGGCATTGCAGAGGCTGCGGGCAGCTTCTCAACCCAGCGCTCAACCTCTGCGCCACCAGGGAGGCCCAGAAATATGAAGCCAGCATTCTTTATGAAGCCAACATTCAGTTAAACATTAAGCTTAACTTGAACTTTCAATAAAATGTTACGTTGTGTTTTTGCCTAAGCATTCTAAGTAGTTCATTTTAACAACATATATAGATTTGTCAGAAGAACCAGACTTAGAAATGACATCAGAGGAAGGTCAAGAAAGGCTTGATGGAAGTGAAAATGACCACCCACTGGTATGTAGAAATTTATACTTAATTTCTGGTTTAATATTGTTTTCTGTGCTTTAAACATAGCGTAATACAAATCAAATTATTTTTGGACTAGTTTTTTAGACTTAATAGATCATAATTTAACATTTAGTTTTGAAAATATTTGTGCTTGTTAAAAACTTAAAATGTTTTTAGAATCTAGTAACTTTATCCTTGGAATTGAGAGAAAAAATTCCTGAATATTGCTTGCTTCTCGCATTTTTATAACTTCCCTACATGATTAACAAGGTAGAAATCCAATGCTGAAACATGATAATCCGTTGAAATTATGAACGGTGAAACAGTGATGTCCATTGAGTTGGAAAAATGTAAAAGAAGTAATCATTCCCACTGATTCAAAATTTGCAGCTTCATATTGCCAGTCGCCAACATCAAGGTGAAAGACTTATTCTCCTGTGATCTCTATGCAATTGACTTAGAGTCTAATTTCAAACAGTATATGGGGTCAGAAAAAGAAAAATACCGGATGGTCTCACTCATAGCAGGAATCTAGAAAACTTAAATAAGGGACCAGGAAAATGAATAACTATAAGAAAGTGAAAATCAAAATCAACAAAAAACTATGAACCAGAGATACTCTATAGGGGGTGGGGGGCAAGGAGGGAAGGGATTGGTGTCAAAATAAGGGGGGTTGCAATTGTATGAGGAATATAAAAATAAAATTTATAATAAAAAATAATAAAATAATTATGTGCCCAAAATGCAAAACAATATCATAGAAGGTGATGCTGGATAATTTTTTAAATGATGTGTCATATATTTAAAGAGTTTATTTTCTTCAGCAGCAACTTGTCAAGAAGTTGAATTATCAGTTTCTTTTGTTTAAGAAAAATCATCCTGGAAATGACTTGTTGAATTTGAAGCACTAATTAAAGACTTAATTAGTTGGCCAAAAAAAAAAAAAAAGAAAGAAAAAGAAATAATCCAACTGCCTATTAAGAGAATAACACCTTCTAGGGTGGGCTTTTTCTTGTTCAGGTACAGGTAATATTTTTCTATCTCAGTGTGGGTAATGAGTACATATTAAAATATTTTAATCCACTCTCATTAGTGTATATTAACTTGGCTGTTTAAAGACGGTAAAGACGGACAAGGTCACATTGTGCTGAAGTCTATTTGCCATCTGTCAGTCAGATGGCAGGGGTAAATATGTTAGGTAGTGAAGAATGGGTGTGAATAAGAGCACAGATTTAAGAAAGCCCTTGTAGGAATTTTGGAAAGGTCTTTCTTGAGTCAGAATGAAGCAGAATTTACAAAAATCTCAATGATCTGTAATGATAAAAATAAAGGAAGCACACAAAAATATCTGTATTGGATAAAATCACAACCACTAGTCAGAAGATAAAACTAATGAAAACAACAATAATTCTTTTTAATGAATAAAGTAATAGTAATTTCCTTAATATCAAACTTTTACTGAAGGTTGAAGAAGAAAACAAGATGCACAAAAATAGTGAAATGGAATTATCAGAGAATATTTGTGATGCTGCTATTGATAACCGTGGATTAATTCAACAAACAAAGAATGGGAAAACTGATAACCAGCACTTTCCTATTATGGAGAATGAAGATTCTGATAGGTAAACCTAGTTAGCATATATTTAATAGAAGGTACTTGTTATTTTCTTATAAAACAAATTATAATGTGCGCTAATATCGTCATTAACAAATTTTATATTTTTACTAGAGACATTCAGGCCTACTTTAAAAGTAAGATTGCCCTCACCACCCAAGATAGTTCTGATTTCTTCTTTCATATTATATGTGCCTCACGCTATTTTAAAAATAATGTCATTTAAGTATTACTATATTTTAAAATAAAAAATACAGTGGTGATCTAATTAGTACTACAGTGTCTGAGAGTCATTACTTTAGGCACCTCACTCTCAAGCTTTTGCACAGAAGCTTCACAATTTCCTAACTTATCACTATAAAATTCTATCACATAAAATTCTATGAATTTTATACTTCTCCTAGTCTTTGTGCATTAAAGACTCTCCATGTATAATGGTTTTTTCTCGTGCATTTTTTTTCCTGGTGACCTCCTCTGCCATCCCTCTTCTTAAAGCCTTCCTTGTGCTCACTTAACATTTCATATGACAATTCTTCTATAGCACAATATATCATAATTGTATATCTGTTTTTGAAGCAAGAAAAATATATTTCCTTGCTTACAGATGGTACTTCATACTTCTTGTGAATTAATAGACAAATGAATGTAGATAAATGTTGGAACTGTACAAAATATCAGTAGTTATTCTAAATATTGACCTTTTTGTGGATTTTTAAAAGTAGTAATCCTGGCTTGCCTATGAAAGAAGTAAAGAAAAATGAAAATAGCAAATGGACAGTCAAAGCATCTGTGACTACATCCATGTTTGAGAAGGCTGGTTCCCTAACTGGTGGTGCGCTTCAAGTGAATGATGACAGCAGCTTAAGTGAAGTAGATCAGAATGATGGAAGGTAAATTCTCTAAGTTCTTTATTTCTAGGTATAGGAATATCAGCAGTGATTACTTTTTCTGGGAATAAAACAACTATAATGTAGTGTACAGTCCCTGACAAGAGAGTTCTAGAGAATATCAGAGAAATACTGTTGAGAGGTTACAATGAGGACTAGTAACTTTGATGAGAAAGTTTCAATAAATAGTTGCCCTTCAGCCAGTTTGTGGTGAGTGAGTGTGAATTGCTCCTTTATAGAAGAATATATACGGAGAAAGACAGTAGAAAAATGGATAACTTCAGAAGAATGTGGAGTTCGAGGGAGTTTTCTTTCTTATCTTAGATATTTATGCTCTTGGAAATGATCCAGTAGAGAAGAACATGTTTATTAAATTTGATTTTGTTTGTATTTCCAATGTTAGAAACTTGTTGACTGTCAGCTTGATCTATATTTAATGATTTGCTAATATTATTTGTAGTACATTTTCTTTGTTCATTAATATTACTCTTTTTATGTATTGCTTAATCCCCTCTCTAGAAAATTAATTACATTGCAGATATTTATTTAAAAAAATCTAGTCTCAGTTATTCTCTGTATTAAAGTAGTTAACATGCATCTGAAATAGGTGTTTGGTTATTTTTTTTAGGCTTATAAAGAAAACATCTAAAGAAAAGAACAAGGTACAGTAAAAATTAATTGATAAAAAATATTATCCTGGGACCTCCCTGGTGGTGCAGGGGTTAAAGTCAGCGCTATCAATCTAGTGCCAGCCACTGCAGCATTAGTTCAATCCCCAGACCCAGGGAGCTGACCCACATATGGGGCAGCAGACCTCTCCTAAATCGCCTGCTGCTCCCTGCAGCTGTGTATTTCAGTAGATCCGCCTGTTCTGCTCCTCACTGTGTCTCTGGTGAATCCTCTCACCCCCACCATACCTCTGGCCTATAGTTCTCATATGCATAATAAATAAAAATAAATCCTTAAAAAATATTATTCTGTTGTAAAAGAAATACATTATAAAAGGTAGAATGAAAAAATAGAAAGTTTTCCTAAACTTCAGAGAGGTTTATTTTGAAAGAGTGATGTATAACACTAGTTATATATAAAGGTAGTCTTTTGATAAAAACAGTAATTAAAAAGAAGTCTGTTTTTGCTTTTATAGAAAGATGGATTTTTATCACCCTTGCATATTTAGTATGTTTCCTAAGTATTTTGAGAACATTTTGAAATAGCATTGCTTATTTGTAGGTCAAGAAGCAAATTAATTCTGTGGATAACCTGGAGGACTTAACTCAGTCATCTGAAACAGCTTCAGAAGATAGTAAATTACCTTACTCTAATTATAAGAATTCTATGTTGCTAATTGAACAACTTAGCATGGATTGTAAAGGTAGGATTTTATAACTATAAAGTCTTTTCTTTACACTGTGGGGTTTTATACACCATTTATCTAGTACTGCACCGTAAAGCACAGGTATAATGTTATTTATCTCAGAACTGTTTTATATTAAATTGAAATGAAAGCAATTGTATAAACTCAGCCAAAGAGCTTTGAGAATTCTCATTGTACTCTTGCTGACTCTGCTGTCTCCTAGGCCTTCATTCAAGGTCATGTACCATTTTTTCCCTCGTGAAATACTGAAATAACCTCAGAGCCGTTCTCCCTGCCATTCCACTTTCCAAAACCTTGATTGTGATATATTTTCAAAACTTCAGATCTCATCATGTTAACCCCCTTCCATAAAATCCAGCTATTGGAATAAGGTTAAAGGCCACAGTCTTCTCACTGCATCTCTTGTCCTTCTTTATCCATCTGCGTCTCAGGCACTGCCATGGTGGTTCTTTCTTGCAGTAAGACTTTTTGTTTGTTATAGTTTAGTGATGTAAACTGCGCATATAGCAAGTGTGTCCCTGGGTCACTTGACCATGTCTATACACGGGAAACCATCACTGCAATCAAGATACTTAATGTATGCGTCACCCCTAAAACATCTCCTCACGACCATTTGTATTCCTTTCAGACGCTGCCAACTTTTTTCCTCAAGTAGCTGTGCCATTTGTTTTCCATTTTGTGTCTATTTTCATTTTTTAAGAGCAAAAATGTTTGATGTCCGATTTAGGTGGTTGTTCTTTACATGCCTTTTGCTTTGGGTGTTCATTTTAAGAAAACTTTGCTTAGCACAAGGTCACAAAGATTATGCTACCTTCTATAAATTGTATAGTTTGAGGTCTTACATTGAGGTCATTTTGCTGTATTGACCTTGTGAGCTTTTTTCACATCTGTTACAAAGTATGGAGATGTTGTATTGAGACCCTCAGACCATTCGCACCTAACGGTGATACTGACATATAGTTGGTTTCAATCTGTCATCATGCTGTTGGATTTCTGTTCATCCTATCTGCTCCTTGCTCCTCTTTTTTTCCTGCCTTTTTTTAGCTTAAGTAATTTTTATGATGTAGTTTTATTTCTCTTTTGGGCTTATTAGCTATATCTCTTTTGTCTTGTTAGTTTAGTGGTTGCTTTAGAGTTTATAGTTTATGAGTAGGTAATCACAGTTTACGTTCAAGTAATACTTTACCATATTATATACAGTGTGTGAGAAAATGACAATAGTTTACTTTCATTTCTGATCTTTTCTAGATCTATGGGACAATAGGTTTTATTAACTTTGGAGAGTTCTGGCCATTTTTTTCTTGAAATTTTTTTCTTTCTCTTTCTCCTACCTCTTGGGAATTGTGTATTAGCCACTTGAATTTTTCTCACATTTCACCTATATCACACTAACTCATTTTTTTTTTTTTTGTAATGTCTAATATGTGTTTACCCCCACCAGTGTGTTTCATCTCTGACATTTTGAATTCTGGCTCTATAGGTCGTGTTTTTTTTTGTTGTTGTTTTTTTAAATAGCTGCCTTATCTTTTGGAGCTCTGTTTTAGGACAGTTAAGTTACTTTTCAACAAGGCTGATCCTCCTGTACTTGTTCTTATGATTAGTCCAGTGACTCTGAAGCAGTGCTCAGCCCCAGCTTGGGTGTTACCCACTAGCCACTGTCCTGCAAATGAGGAGTTTTTCCAGCCTAGCTAATGGAGCAGACACTATTCCTGGTGCTATGTGAGCAGCCAACACTGTTTCCTCTACTTTTTTCTGATGGTTTTCCCCACTGGTCTCTGGTGCTTTCCTCACAAGGGTATATACACTATTGATTGGTTTTGCTGAATACCCTGAGGGACCCCTCTGCAGATCCCTGGGGTTCTTTCTCTCCACTGTTGGACCTGTGATCTCCATCTACCTTGTTTTCACAGACTCTGTTTCATCAGCCCCGCTGCAGTTCCTGCTCCCTGTGGCATGGCCTGGAATTTCTTGAAGGCAGTGAGCTGGGGCATTCATTAGATTAACTTCAGAAATCATTGACCTTCACTGCCTGAAGTTCTTTATCTTGAAAATTATTTTTGAATGTATTTTGTCTGTTTTGTCTTTGCTTGTTTCAGTAGGAAGTACCTGTTATTCCATGTTGGCTAGAAGCAGATCGCAGTAGAACTTCAGCACATGCTGTAAACTCCTAGAATGTTGTTCTTTCTCCTTTGCTTAATTGCTTCCTGTTTATCCTTCATTTCTCAAGGTAGCCATCTCTTCCTCTTCCTAGATCATGTTCTGTTAGTGATCATAGAATTCAGTTTGCTTACAGTATCTGTCAGAACTTATCATTTTATTTGTCTTCCTCTGTCATTAGACATTAGCTAAACAATAGACAGAGTTCTTGTTTATTTTACCTACAAAGTTGATTATGTCTTCTACATAGTAGACATGACACTCAATATATAAAATAAATACATGCAGAAGTGAATATGAAAATCCACATCCTTTGTACACCAAAAGTACTTATATATTTATTTCTCTGTTTGTTTTCTCCCTGAGCAGATTCTGTGAGCTTATTGAAAATCCAGGATGCACTTCTTTCATATGAAAGATTAATAGAACTTAAAAAAAATCACTGTCAATTGCTTTCGGGAAAAATTAAAAAAATGAAAAATAAGGTTAGTGGCCTACAAAAGGAGCTCTCAGAAACCAAAGAAATAAAATCCCAGTTAGAGCATCAAAAAGTGGAATGGAAACGGGAACTCTGCAGTTTGAGGTATTGATCATTCTGGCTTTAAAGTAATGTATTACAGAGATGTAGCATAAGTTTTGTAAAACTTCCTAATTTACCTTCTGGGATTTTATGGGGGAGAAACCTTTACTAGTATTATGATATAGAAATTCTTGTAAATAATATAGCAGCTTCTTAACATGACCACTTTTACTAATAATTTAATGTGTATTATTCCACATCATAATTTTTTTTCAAAGATTTATTTATTTTTATTCAAGAACTGGGGTACCGGCCAGAGGCACGGGAAGGTGAGAGGATTCACCAGATAGAGAGCGGGGCATAGAACAGGCAGACAGACTGAAAAGCACTGCTAAGGGGAGCAGTGGGTGAGACAGGAGAGGTCTGCCATGCCATGTGGGAATCTCCCTGGGCGGCCGGGAATGAAACCCGCACTGCTAAGGGGAGCAGTGGGTGAGACAGGAGAGGTCTGCCATGCCATGTGGGAATCTCCCTGGGCGGCCAGGAATGAAACCCGCACTGCAGATGCTGTGGACAGTTCCACAGCACAACACTTCACCCACTGTGCCACCAGGGAAGCCCCTCCTCATCATAATTTTAATGGCCATATGGAAGTCCAACATATGGAAGCCTCATTATTTATTTAAAAAATTGAATTTCAATTTTTAAAAATTCTCTCTCTTCCTAAATGGTAGAAGGAATGTCTTTTATATAAGTATTTCTGTTTCTACTAATATTTTACTTTGAATGAATTCTTCAATATACTATTAAGAATAAGCACTTTTAAAAAATGTTTGTGGAAACAAAGGAATTGACAAAACGAAACCAAGAGCCTAGAACTATGAATTAGAAGCCTCCTAGACTGCAGACTGGAGGCTTCTAGAAGTGGGGAAGGTGGGAGTATGCACAAAGTCGGGGGGGCCCACTAGCGTCTGCTGGTGGGTGTGGTGTGATGATGTACATCTGAGGAGGTGTGAACCTGTTCCCCTGAATTGTATACAGTGCTTTAAACCAGTGCTACATCAAATTTTTAATCTGTTCTTAAGAAACTTTATATTAGGGCCTCCCTGGTGGCACAGCAGGTTGAGCACTGCGCTGTGAAGCTGTCCACAGCCTCTGCAGTGCGGGTTCAATTCCCTACTGGCTAGGGAGAAACCCACATGGTGCAGCAGACCTCTCCTGCCTCGCCTGCTGCTCCACTCACCAGTGTCTTTGGTCCGTCTGCCTGTTCTGCTCCCCACTCTGTCTCTGGTGAATTCTCTCACCCTCCTGTGCCTCTGACTGTACCCCAGTCCTTGTATAAATAAATAAATCTTTAAAAAAAGAAACTATATTAATTTGCATTTCCATCAATAGAGTATGAAGTGGCCATTTTTCTCAAGACACAGTTTTTTTAAATGTATACAGTTTTATTGTTATAAACATGGGAAAAAAGTAAAAAGTAGAAGGTGATTACTGATTATTTAACATAGCCCTCCTACATAGAAAATAAATTTAAAGATCTGTCTTGAGAGCACATACTAAACAAGATATATTGAAAGTGTTGCAAGAGAGATGTAAGAAGTGCAGGGAGGAGACAATAGACTCCTGAGCTGGGGCGTGCAGTCTCTGTGGAGCTGTGATGGTGTAAAAGATACCTGCAGATACTCTTTTACACTCCATCATTTTGTGCAGTTTAACTTTTTTCTAGTGAATTTATAAACTTGCTTATGAACAACCATGTCTCTATTTCATTTATTTTTTTAAGATTATTTATTTATGCAAGCACTGGTTACAGTCAGAAGCTCAGGAAGGTGAGAGAATTCACCAGAGCCAGAGCGGGGAAGAGAACAGGCAGACTGACGAAATATACTGCTGAGGGGAGCAGTGGCGTGGCAGGAGAGGTCTATGCGCCATGTGGGACCCTCACTGGCGGCCGGGGATCGAACTGGCACTGCAAAGGCTGCGGGCAGCTTCGCAGCCCAGCACTTAACCGCTGCACCACCAGGGAGGCCCAAAGTCTCCATTTTATTAGTAACTAAATTATCTATCCAAATGGCAGAGGAATAATACTTGTGTAGAAAAGGTTTACTTTACTGAATAATTTAAGACTTTATTTCCTACCATAGAGTTACTATTAAAGAAATTTACTGCATAGGAGAATATGTTTTTATTGCTATCTTTCAAAGATGTATACATCTTTTGGAAGAGGTTGTAGCAAGAAATAAAAACTTACAATCTAAAAAAGACAGTAATTTAAGAATATAGAAATTTTATTAGGTTAATGAGCTCATCATTTGAACAAAGCGACATGGTTCACTCGTACTTAGAAATAGATCATGAAGTCAACTTTTTATTTTTTAACAAAGTGAATATTAAGGTAAGCATATTTAACTGCAGATTTACCTTGAAACAAGAAGAAGTGAAAAGAAGAAATTCAGATACATTATGTGAAAAAATTAGGGAGCAGTTAAAAAAAACAGAAGAGCAATATCATAAAGAAGTTGAAGTGAAACAACAGCTTGAACTTAATCTTCGAACACTAGACATGGAATTAAGGACACTAAGAAATAATTTGAATCAGGTAAGTAATCTTTGGTGAGAAATTCATATTTCTAATATTTTATCAAAACTATAGTATAATTTTCATTTAATGTATATTATTAGATTTAAAACAAATCAAAAATATGAACTATGCCATCTATAGCCACAATGATTAATTTATTGCAGTGCGAAGAATCTAGTAGATGCTTTTATATGTTTTCTGAATGAAGGAATGAAGGTAAATTCAGCTTCATCATTAGCCTGCAAGTTAATTTTGTTTTCTTATGTTAAAATACATAATTGCCTCAATGCTATGGTGGAATTAGTTAAATATTCTGTAGAGACATTGTTTGTACCTGTGTGCTCTATGACAAATTTAACTCTCCTTTAAGTTCCAATTGAGTTAGTCTGTAGAATAGAGACCCTTGTACTTAAAAAAGCCAATTCCTTTGAACATTTTTTAGAAAGACTTTGAGCTTTTGACTTTGTTTTTAATGGTATAAGACCAAAAACTTAATGAAACTTGTCTCTAGGTTGTAGAAGAGCGAAATGACACTCAGAGGCAGCTCTCTCGAGAACAGAATGCCAGAATATCTCAAGATGGAATTCTGACCAATCTCCTTTGCAAACAAAAGGAGATAGAAATGGCTCATAAGAAAACAAATTCTGAGGTATTTTCTTTAGTTGTTTTCAAATATGAATGTATATGTATTTGTATGGGCATATGTTTTAAAAATCAACACTATATACATCATGGAAAATATGGAGGGTTTTTAAATGTATATATTTGTGGGGGGGCATTATTTTTGGATCAATAATTGAAATAATAAATAGTATTTTTAATATTTTTGGGCCATTGGGTAAAACAATAAAATTCTTGGCATCTTTGGGCCATTGAATAAAATAATATGCTTAATTCAAATGTACTTGTCTGCAGTAATCAAGTAGTGACATTTGCAAATGTCTCCCAAAGGAGAGGCTTTTAATATTTTCTATAGGGACCAGTGAACTTTCTATAATCTCAAAACTTTTGTTACTAGCAATAGATGTCCAGTTTCTGGCAGTGATTTCACCTCCTTGACATATTATTAGAAATCAGTTTATCACTTATACTTATGGTGAGGAGAAAAAGGGTAACAAGTTCAGAGACTATGTTTTCAATTTCATTTTCCTACATTTGAAAAGTGACAGTTTGCTCCAAACAGTGCTCTATTTCAGTAGAAAGAGCTTTAGAAAATAATGATACACTATAGTATGTACTTTGTGATAATTTATTGAAAAGTACTATATTCTTAGTAAATCAGTTCAGTGTATGTTTCTCCTCTTTCACATTTCTTACTATTTTAAACATCATGAAGAAGAAATAAAATTTATTGCAGCCACAAAGAGTTTCATGATTTTTTTCAGAAAGTTCTTTAAATTTTGCCTCATTTACCATTAGTATTTTTGTAGCAGAGCTTGACCGAAAAGCATGGGTCCTTTGCCCTCAAAAGAAAGAATTCACCAGGGCCTCTCCGGTGGCGCAGCGGTTGAGCGCTGGGTTGCAAAGCTGCCCGCGGCCTCTGCGGCGCTGGTTCAATCCCCGGCTGCTCCCCGGCCAGCGGAGGAGGGTCCCACATGGCGAGCAGACCTCTCCTGCCGCCCGCTGCTCCCCTCAGCAGTGTACTTCGGTCCTTCTGCCTGCTCTGCTCCCCGCTCTGGCTCTGGTGAGTTCTCTCACCCTCCCACACTTCTGACTGTACCCAGTGCATGTATAACAAACAAACAAAACTAAATAAATAAATAAAACATGCCTCTATAAAAAAAAAAAAAATTTATTTAAAAAAAAAAAGAATTCACCAGAGAGCATGAAGTGTCGTCAAACCAGAGAGGGTTTATCAGAGTGCAGTCAAAAAATGCAAGGGATGGCCCCTGGACAGGACTCTAGATTGTTTCCCTGAGGGAAACCCAAGACCAATTTTTCAGGAGTCTTCAAGGATCCTGTCTCCTGCTTTGAGATGTCTGGGTTCTGCAGAGTGGAGCACAGTGTTTGATCTTTCATGACTCTGGAGGTCCCGTGTTGATCAGGGCTGCAGGTAAACCTGTGGAGTGTCCCCATATGCCTGGGGAAAGGTGATTGCTCATGGGCATACACAGTATGTGTGGAACAATGTAAAGTATTGAATAAAACAAAGTGGGTATAAGCAGAGCACTTACAAAAAAATACAGTCTCTCCAGTGTCCATCATGTCTTCCTGGGCCCGGAACCATCTGGTGGCCAGGTGGCTGTTAACTGGTGTGATCTGTTCCTACCCCTACTTTTCCATATGCCCTATTTTATTTTGAATTAGAAAGCTTCTTTTGTATTTGTATGTTTATGTTAGAGAAGTAGTTGCGATTTAATAGAAGAGCACTCGTGGTAGAGTAGGAAGATTCTGCAAACTAGCTTATAGTTTTGACCTCTCCATTCCAGAACTGTGATAACTCTGTGTATGTGTATGTGTGTGTACACACACACACACACACACACACACACACGTAAATCTTTAGTACAATGCCTAGATTTACCAGCTAATAGTAACTTTCATTCTATAGCTGATTATTAAGAATGTTAGAAAAGTAGAAAAAATATGTGGAATGAATCTTAGATAAAAAGAGCTTTAGGAAGTTTAACCTGTGCAAATACATTTATTAATCTTTATTTCTGCCTCTGGGTTTGTGGTAATTTAGAGCAAGGTCATTCTAACTTTGAGGTTTTTTCAAAAACTCAAAATTTTTTCACTTTCTTGGATTCTTTGTCTTCAATTAAATTTTTAAACTTTCAGGCATCTATGCTTATATAATTTTTCTTTAATTTCAGAAGAAATCATGATATGTTATTTTATTGAGTGCTAGATAGAAGTCTCTTGTGTTCTATTTAGGTTTCTGATATCTATGAAAAAGAAAAAGATCTGGTGCATAAAAACCACATGTTACAGGATGAAATTGCAATGCTAAAACTGGCAATAGATACAATAAGAAATCAGAACCAGGAAAAAGAAAATAAATATTTTGAGGACATTGAAATTATAAAAGGAAAGAATGATGATCTTCTCAAAACACTAAAATTAAATGAGGAAACATTAACAAAAACAATATCCCAATATAGTGGACAGCTTAATGTTCTGAAGACTGAGAATTCAGTGCTAAACTCTAAATTGGAGAGTGAAAAACAAAACAAAGACAGACTAGAAACAGAAATTGAATCCTTCCGTTGTAGACTGGCTTCTGCTATACACGATCATGACCAAAGTCAGACATCCAAGAGAGACCTAGAACTTACTTTCCAGAGGGCAAGAGATGAGTGGCTTCGTTTACAGGACAAAATGAATTTTGATGTGTCTAACCTAAAAGATAACAATGAGATTCTTTCTCAGCAACTTTCGAAAGTCGAAAGTAAACTCAATAACCTCGAAATTGAACTCCATCACGCAAGAGATGCTCTCAGAGAAAAGACTTTGGTTTTAGAAAGGGCACAAAGAGACCTAAACCAAACACAGAGTCAGAAGAAGGAAATTGAACAGATGTATCAAAATGAACAAGGTAAAGTGAATAAATACATTGGAAAGCAGGAATCCTTAGAGGAGAGATTATCTCAGCTACAAAGTGAAAATACATTGCTTCGGCAGCAACTGGATGATGCTCACAACAGAACTGAAAATAAAGAAAAGATGATAATGAATATCCAAGATCAGTTTCAGGATGTGGTAAAAAGACTTCAAGCTGAAAGTGAAAAACAAGGTCTTATGCTGGAAGAAAGGAATAAGGAGTTAATCAATGAATGCAATCATTTAAAAGAAAGGATGTATCAGTATGAAAATGAGAAAGCTGCAAGAGAAGTAAGTATCCAGAAAGATAAATATTTTTCAATCTTCCTGAAAGAAAAGTCAAAGTAATCAGTGTATTTGCTCTATCAGCTTAGAAGCATACCATGTATCCAGCAAATAAAAATTAGACCAGAGAGGCGCACTTTACACTGTCAAAGACATTGTACCACCTATGAAATTTTAAGAGGGCTGTTTGTAACTTGTTAATAGATATAGACTGATGTTAATAATTTTGTCTTATACTGCTAAAATAATCATTTTAATCTGTCAACACAATTTTAATGCCATGATAAAGCAGATAAATGTAGATGTTCATACTAAAATGATTGTTTTGTAGACTACCTTGACCATTAATTTCAGATTTCCCAGTGTACTTTTCCTTTAAGTAACTTTAAAAAGTTCCTTAAGTAACTTTTAATATATTTTAATTGGTTTTGTTGTGTATGTGGATTTTTTTGCTTGTTTATGTCAATTTGATTTCACTTTGGAATATTTTGGTCTCAGATCATATATTCTTGAGCCCACTCAATTCTTTAAAGAAATTTACTTTTCATTAAATCATAATTTAGGACAAATGTGGTGTTAGCAAATTACTATTTGATTTAATCTCCCCACTGCTCTTTTTAATTTACTTTGAACATTTTTATAAATAAGTCACTCAAGACTCAGTTCAAAGTTCAGTTATTATTAATTGGTCATAAGTGTGTTCAGTACTAAAAGAATTGTATCTCTATGTGATTTGTTAATTTGCATTGGATTCCATACTCAGACTATGTGGGTTTATGGATAGCAAGAATGGAGTGAGTAGGGGAGAGTTGGACCAGCTGAGGTCAGAAAGTGAAGTGGCGGCCAGGTTTTATGCCTCCAGGTTTGAAAAGGCTATCAGAATTACTTCACTTTTATTCTGAGAGAGAAATGTATTGGAAGGATTTGAGCAGATGATTGACTATGTGAGTGACCATGAAGTTAATTTAAACATCTAGTAGAAAGAGGGAAGAGGTTCAACAATATGAAATTTACCACCACTAGGTTCTTTCTATATTCTTATCTCCTTTTGAAACTTCAGTGGCTTGTAATGCTTCGCAAACTGATCAGGGGGGAGTGCATGGTGGGGCTGAATCTTGTCAATTTAACACGGTAATGATTATGCAGTAGGCTAGCAGGAGGATGATTATGCAGGAGGATGTCTTTAATCAAATTCAGTAAACAGAAATTGTGTATATATGAGGGAAAGAAGGTAAACTGGTGATTTTCCCCCATATAACATGTGTTAGCATTACATATTATTAACATAATTTAATAAGATGATTTATGAAATCAGTAATAGATATGTCTTACTAGGTAGGTGTGAGACAACTTCAACAAGAACTGGCTGATACCCTAAAAAAGCAATCCATGTCAGAGGCTTCGCTGGAGGTTACTTCACGCCATCGTATTAATTTAGAGGAGGAGATACAGGATTTAAAGAAGAAATTAAGTCAAATCAGAAGTCAAGTACGTATGAAAATTAAAATATTAATACTTAATCTCTAACTGGTTACATAATACAGTGTTACCAGTACTGATTTTCATGGACATCTTTCCTTTTTTCATTATTTTCTTTATAATGTATTTGTTTCTTAAGCTTTGGCTTTATTCTGTCATATTATACAATAAAAACTTACCATTCCTCATACAAGTTGAGAGACTTTTTTTCTACTAAACTGTTTTTTAGTAATCTCTGTTACTACAACGAGGCAAGCCAGATAAAGTCACAGGACAATGTTTAATTGAATGTTCCAGGATGTTGTCTTTTCTCCTTATCTTTTGTGTATGAATATAGAGTCCGTGCATGTTTAATCATTTTAGATATGTTGTAAAAGCACATAAAAGATTGTATATAATATATACACTGAAAATAGAGAATTAAGAGACTACCTGCCATTGAAATTTTTAAAAAGATTTCAAATGTAATTCACATGTCATACAAGTCAGTCATCGAAAATGTACAATTCAGTAGCTCTTAGTATATTCAGAGAGCTGTGAAACTGAAACTGAATCAATTTTAGAACATTTTCATCACCCTCAAAAGAAGCCCTGTATCCCTTAGCCTCTATCCCCAGCCCAGGACAACCACCAATCTATTGTCTGTCTATGTTTTTTAAAAAATATTTATTTATGCATACAAGAGCTGGGATACAGACCAGAGATGCAGGGGTGAGAGGACTCACCAGAGACAGAGTGGGGAGGCAGAACAGGCAGACTGACTGAAATACACTGCTGAGGGGAGCAGCAGGCGAGTCAGGAGAGGTCTGCTGTGTCATGTGGGTAGCTCCCTGACCAGAGATCAAACTCGTGCTCCAGTGGCTATGGATAGCTTCATTGTACTGCGTCTTAATCCCTTGCGCCACCAGGGAGGCCCCTATCTATTTTTATATTAATGAATCATACCGTATGTAGCTTCTCTCACTTAACATAATGTTTTCAGATTTCATCTGTGTTATAGTACATATTAGTGCTTCACTTGTTTTTACTGTCAAATAATACTATTCTATGGCTAAAGCACTGTCTAGTTAATGGACCTTGTGTTTTATTTTCCCTACCTTAAAAATGCTGCCATGAACTTCCATTTTCAAATTATTGTGTGGATGTATGTTTTTATTTTCTCATATTAGATTTTTAGCCTCTGCTTTCTCCTCCTCTTGGCCTTTACTCACAATGTCCTTCCTGTCTTCAGTTTCTATTTCTTTTACTTAATCCTGCCTTCATTCAGACCTAGTTCAATCTCTCCTTGTGCATGAAGCTTTCTCCTACTGCCTTCTCACTGGTCATACTCTCTTCAGTGCTTGTCAGATAGTCTATATAAAACATTTTAGCCCTTAACTTTGTATTGTTTTAAGTATTTTTCATGAGAGATAAAGTCTTATAAAAATTGAAAATTTTTGAGCTTGACAGTTGTTGAGATAGAAATTAAGTACTTTATGCCACACCAATAATTTCTTCTTGGAGATATTGATAGAATAAAGCTTTTATTCTAAATGTATTTCAACCAGTTAAGTGTGAAATTAAACACTTAATCTAAGAGGCATTAACTGTTCAATCAAATGTTAATTTTCTTCCCTCAGTATGAAAAGAAAATCTAAATTTACCTTCATTGTGCAGTGTAAAGGCCAGGAACAGGACACAGTGCAGGTTTTCTGATTCCATGCAGACCAGGTAAAGGAGGAGTCAGAGTCCTCAGTAGTTTTACAGGTCCTTTATTGGGGTTCACCAGGCATATGGCAGGCAGCCTCCCAGCCTACCAGCCTCCCAGCCCCCAGCAAGTCTTCACTCTATCTGGGTTCTCTAGCGTTCGTTCTGCTGCTTCTCGGCTTCTCTTTCGGCTTCTGCTTCTGCTTCGGCTGCTGCTGCTGCTGCTGCTGCTGCTGCTTCTGCTTCGGCTGCTGCTGCTGCTGCTGCTGCTGCTGCTGCTCCTCCTCCTCCTCCTCCTCCTGCTGCTGCTGCTGCTGCTGCTGCTGCTGCTGCTGCTGCTGCTGCTGGCGTCCCCGTGACGCCGCCCTTAAAAAGCACAGTCTTAACTCAGCTGAATCCCATCTACCTATGCCCACACCCTATTCCAGGTGCCCGCCATCAGGCATGCATTCAGGACAAGGATCCATCATCTATCCTGATGGCGGAAGGGCAGAAAAGCCTGACATTTTCTTTACCCTACATGCAGTCAGAACTGAGCTTACAGACTTACAAAGCTTTGCCCATTGTGTAACCGTGGGAGTGGCTTTTCTGGAATGCCATGTCACGTAACCTTAATCAACTCATCAGAGTACTGGCCAAAGCAGCCCAGCATTAACAGTTGCTGGGAAAGAATTGATTTGGGTACTTTGATTTAGCAAGGAAGTCCAGTATTTCCATGTCAGCAACTCTTTTGTTGCTGCCTGTGGTGATCACATGATCATGTACTGTTTAATCCAGGTGATGTTTTCTTTGTAGTCCATGAGTCCCAACGAGTGTGCAGAGAGAGAAGTGTGTTACAAATGATTGCAAGTAGAAAAAAGTACATTGGCTAGTGGAATTGGTGAAGGGTTTTGAAGCACTGAAGTTAAATTCTGGGCCTCATGTTCCCCATTTATTGCTACTTTCAGTGGTATCAGTGATTTCCCTGTAACTTGTTTAGGATACCACAGTGCACTATCTGTATAAATTATCCAATGTAATTAGAACATCAAATATAGTAACAGTATAATGCTAATTGCAGTGTTAGAACTTACGTGCCATGCACTCTTCTAATTACTGTATGTATACTTGCTAATTTAATCTTCCCAACATCCCGGTAAGTTAGTACTATTATTATGTACATTACACAGATGAAGAAACTGAGACAAAATTTTAAGTAATTTACTTAAGTTCACAATAGAGACTTAAGGTCTGGTAGAAATGGGCTGTGTCCCCGGCACCTGTCTCCTATGTAGGTGATTGCATCTCAAACTATTCCGTGAAACATGTGGTTGTGACTTCAAGCAGCACATTAACCTTTATAATCACTTAGAAAGCTGTGGTCATTCACACAGTTTTTATTTAAATTTATACTTGAAGGGGTGCTTAGAATACAAAAATATAAATGTTTGCTATAAGGTAATTTTCCATTTTTTTCCATCTGACCAATTTATAAATTTGTGTATGATTTGATAAAATATAATTTAAAACATAATAATTTTGTATATCAATAATTTAAAACATAATAATTTTGTATATCAATATTAGAGGAGAGATTGGTTAATGTTCCTGTAAAGGGTCAAATAATAATTGTTTTAGACTTTGTGCACCCCAAGGTCTTTTTTGTAACAATCTCAAACTCTGCTCTTAACAGCAAAAAAGTAGCCAGAAACAGTATACAAATTGAGAGCGTATGTTTACATTCCAATAAAATTTTAGTTAAAAAAACATGTAATGGCACATTTGTCCTAGATTACTAGTGAATAAAAATTTTTTTTTTTCTTTATTTCAGTTGCAAGAGGCACAGGATGGTCATACAGAGGCCGTAAGATGTGCTGAGAAGACGCAAGATTACGTGCAAAAGTACATTTTTAAAGCAGCACAAAGAACTTGAGTATTTATAAAGCAGATGAGCAGTGTTGTCCGTCCGTCCCGCAGGCCGACGGGTTTCAGGAGCACAGCGGAGGGGCTGGGGATGAAAGATGCGTCCTCTCACTTGGCTGGAAGCAGGAACTCTCTTTATTACCGAGGGGCAGGGATATATATAGGAAAGTCTGCACATGTGCTTTTCTTGGCCTGCACATGCAGTTTATGTGGCCTGCACATGCGCTTTACGTTGCATCAGCTTTTGCCTTGCGCATGTGCTTTCCATGGACCTTGCAACTTCCTGTTAAGATTGCATCAGATTTGTAGTCTCATTATTTGGTGGAAGCGGGCACTACCCCAGGTCCCTCTGTCGGCTGGAAAACTGTACTGCCAAAGGTTACTGACACAGTGTCATATAAGAACTATGTGTTATGATATTATTGACATATCAGTGTTAAGTTGGGTAAAATTTTGAGTACTTAGCTCTTGAAGTGCATAATTTTTGTGCTTTTTTCTAAATCATATATATAACCTACAAAGCACAAGTTGAAAAATACACAATTGGCTAATCATCTACTCTGCATATTTTTAAGAATTTATGTAATTGCACCCTCAGATAGTTGTTTAGGATTTATGTGGTTGCTTTTGTTTATGTGTGAGATTAATATTTTAAAATATACATTCTAGGCTTGAAACAGAAAATGTGAAGTTTAAAGGTACAATCAAAAAACAAGCATGCAAAATTGAACAGCTTCAAAAAACTCTGCTAAGTACAAATACGGTAAGTCAAGTCTCTTAACTTCTGTGAAAAGGAATTTTATTTCTCCAGTGGCAGTATGTATCAGTGGTTTGGACAACATAAAAGACCTCAATGGTAAACTTATTTATTATATTCATATTGCTGCTGCTTGTTACTGGTAGTGTAGTTATACTTTGTAGAGGAAGTTAACTGATTTCATAAAATGTGTTATTTTTGTGGTAAGATTCTAGTAAAAAAAAATTCTATTAGTCTAAAAGCAGTATTACTACATTTTGTTTATCCATTGATTGATAAACTAGTTTTCCACCTTCAGATTATTATTTTTTTTTTAAGATTTATTTATTTATTTATTTATACAAGCACTGGGTACAGTCAGAAGCGCAGGAGGGTGAGAGAATTCACCAGAGCCAGAGCAAGGAACAGAACAGGCAGAGTGATGAAATACACTGCTGAGGGGAGCAGCGGGCACAGCAGGAGAGGTCAGTCGCGCCATGTGGGACCCTCGCCGGCGGCCAGAGATTGAACTGGCGCTGCAGAGGCTGCGGGCAGCTTTGCAGCCCAGCGCTCAACCACTGCGCCACCAGGGGAGGCCCTGGATTATTATTGATGATGCTTTTGAGACCACTGGCACACAATTGCCTGTTTGAATCTCAACTAATATTTTCAATGTTTAAAAATTCCTCCATATTTGAATCCTGTTTTGATCTAGAATTCTGAATTTTTCTTGTTATCTACACCTTTTGGTGAGATTTTGGGATTGATTTGTTTTTAATGTTGTAATATGTTCTATTCATCAAAAATGAATAGTATGTCATTGTGCAAGCATTTTTCTGGAAGGAACGTACTTTTCTCCTTTAAAGATTTTTAAAATGATAAGAGATGCTAGTGAAAGAGTACGAACTGTTTCATCGGGACCTTATAGAGTAACATAGCGCTCCAGCACTCGCATGGTTCAGAAACCATGTTTTCCCATTTACTTGAGTTAATCAGCCTTTCAAAAATTTAATGATCCAATCTCAGAAAAGATTGATGTTTAATGCCAATGTATTGATGCCAATGTATTGATGTATCGTGCAAACTCTGTGATTATTTACCAAGCAGAACAAGATTCTTCTGTCATCCAGACTCTCCTTTATAGGAGAGGTTTCTTATGATTTAAGGTTAGAAGATTGCATTGCATTATGAACCCTCAGTTGGAGCATGGAGCAATGAGGTGGCTGCATTAGAGACAACATAGTTTCTTTAATTTGCAATAATTAGATTCCTGCAGTGAATGTAGAACATTCCTACTGACTGGTCCATATTCTTATAGTCTAAGAAACATTGAAAGTTATTCATAGTCACATTATGTTAGCATACTTTATAGATACTGTGTTCATAGGAATGGACTGTGAAGGACTGTGGCAGTGTCAGGTAAAAATTATAGTGTCACATAAAAATTATTAAGGTATCAAAAATTGAAAATATAAGAATATCCCAAAATAATTAAACTTATTCAAAAATGATGAGTGATTTTTTTACAGATTCTTATAGAAATGAGCTAGAATTATGACATAAAATTATTAGTCACTTTAAGGTCTCTTCTGTGGCTCAAAAATCTACTAACAGAGCTTTCCAGGACTCGATCAATAGACCTGAGTTCTCTAAGTTTCTCACCATGTCATGTGTTTCCAGGCCTGGATTAAGATATGTGATTAACAGGGAAATGCAAATCAAAACTATAATGCCCAGGCATTAAAGTATATCAGAGTCCAGTGGAAGGGGAAAAGCAGATGATAGATAGAAAAAGCTATAGATTTGAACAAAAGTTACATTTTTTACATAATTAAAGAAGACTTAAATTTTACACCATCTTACACCAGTGAGAATGGCACATATTAAAAAAACTAACAACAACAAATACTGGTGAGGATGTGGAGAAAAAGGAAATCTCCTGCACACCTGGTGGGAGTGCAAACTGGTCCAACCACTACAGAAACCTGTGTGGAGATTTCTCAGCCTGCTAAAGATGGATCTTCCATATGATCCAGCTATTCCACTCCTAGGTATTTACCCAAAGGACACAGAAACATTAATTCCAAAGGGCACCTGCACCCCTATATTTATAGCAGCACTATTTACAATGGTAAGCTATGGAAACAACCCAAATGCCCAAAAATAGAGGACTGGATCAAGAAGATGTGGTACATATACACAATGGAATATTACTCAGCAATCAAAAAAGATAAACTCATGCAATTTGCAGCAATAAGGATGGAGCGGGAAGGGATCATGCTCAGCGAAATAAGCCAGAAAGAAAAAAAAAAGTACCGGATGGTCTCACTCATAGTAGGAATTTAGAAAACCTAAATAAGGGACCAGGAAAAAGACTAATTATAATAAAATAAAAATCAAAATCAACAAGCAGCTATAAACCAGAGACACACTATGGCAGGGGGTGGGGGAGAAAGGAGTCAGATCAAAACAAGGGGGGTGGGAATTGTATGGGGACTATAACCAAGATGAAAATGTATACATTGTGCAAAAATGAAAAATGATGTAAAAATATATAAAATAAAATTTAAAAAGATATATGATTAACACAATTTTGAGATGAATAATCTGGATTGGGAAGAGAGAGGTAGCTCTAACTGACTCAAGCCTCCAAATAATATAGTCAAGTATTTATCTGAAAAGAACTTCAGAATATTTCCAAAAGGTTTGTGAAACTGCCGCGGACCAGCACAGCAGTGAACGATGAGGCTGTCTCAGGGTTGAGAGAAGCGTGCAGGGTGGTCAGGGAGTCGGTGAAAGAAATGACAAACAGAGGGCCTCCCTGGTGGCGCAGCGGTTGGGCACTGGGTTGCAAAGCTGCCCGCGGCCTCTGCGGCGCCGGTTCGATCCCCGGCTGCTCCCCGGCCACCGGAGGAGGGTCTCACATGGCGCGCAGACCTCTCCTGCCGCCCGCTGCTCCCCTCAGCAGTGTACTTCGGTCCTTCTGCCTGCTCTGCTCCCCGCTCTGGCTCTGGTGAATTCTCTCACCCTCCCACACTTCTGACTGTACCCAGTGCATGTATAACAAACAAACAAATAAATAAATAAAAATACATTCCTCTTTATTAAAAAAAGAAAAAAAAAAAAGAAATGACAAACAGAAACACTTCAAGAGAGTGAAAATTTGAGTGTAATTTTCTTTGAGTTAGTGACCAGTATATATACGTTTTCTAAAAGCATAGGAATGGCGAACATCAGTGAAGAAATCAGCTTGCTTATAGGTTTAGCTTATCATTGACAGGGCAGTGATTTACATCTGGACCCAGGCGCATTCCTAAGTAGTTAGGCTATTAATTTTTCTTTTTGTTTTATGTGATTACTTTTTTGTTTTAACTACTCATTACCACTAAATTACTATAAATTAACACGGGTGAGTTTTACTTTTCACAATGTAATATTTTTATCATTAAGATTAATACTAACAAGGCTAAGCATACAACAGAGAAATTATTAAGCTAACAGTTCTATTAATACAAGAGTTTAGTAACGTTTCATTTAAATTAACCTAGTTATTAGATTTTGTATGTTCTTTTTTAATCAGCAACCAATGACCTTTTTAGACAGAGAAAGAGAAAAGATTTTAGAAAGAGAAAAGATTTTAGAGAGACAGTTGTATTAGAATAAAGTTTGTGGGCCTTGAGAAGGCAAGATAAGTTTCCCTGCGGTCAGCATTCCTGTAGTGGCTCCTTGGGGTCGTTATCTTTCAACAGGCTTCTGTCTTGTCTATGTCTTCAGGGGGTTTTACTGTTCTCCCCTTGCTTCAGGGAGTTTTGCTGTTCTCCCCCTGCGCACTGGTTCCTTGCCCAGCCGGACCTAGGGACCATGGCGAAAGCCATTAGCCCTAAAGGTCACTGCAGGGGGAGGTGCAGCAGAAACAGGAAGTAATCCAAAAAGAAAACCAAGAGAGTTGATAATCTGACCCTTGTGAAAAACATGTACATAATAGAAGAAAAGCAAGACAAAATATGCTGGTCAACCTAAAATGTACAAGGTTAGCAATCTACCCCGGTAGTCCACACCTGTGCTTTTGGTATAATAGTCTGAGTATGTGGTTAAGGAAATTGTCTCTGAGAAGTAAACTGGAAGGAAGAGATGAAATACAGTTGAACCTCAGTGAAGTTGGGAGGAAGGGGTTATCAAGTCTGGAAATAATATGTGACGGGCCTCCCCTGGTGGCACAGCGGTTGAGCGCTGGGCTGCAAAGTTGCCCACAGCCTCTGCAGCATCAGTTGGATCCCCGGCCGCCGGCGAGGGTCCCACATGGCGACACAGACCTCTCCTGCAGCGCCCGCTGCTCCCCTCAGCAGTCTGCCTGTTCTGTTCCCCACTCTGGCTCTGGTGAATTCTCTCACCTTCCCGCTTCTGACTATATCCAGAGCTTGTATAAATAAATCTTTAAAAAAAAATAATATGTGATGACTGGCAGAAATTTCATGTTGGAACTATAGGATTGAAAATCAGATGTAGGGCCTCCCTGGTGGCACAAGGGGGTAAGTACAGCACTATGAAGCAATCTGCAGCTTCCGCAGCAGGATTTCCATCCCTAGCCAGCCAGGGAGCAACCCACATGGCACAGCAGACCTCTCCTATCTCTCCCGCTGCTCCCCTCAGCAGTGTATTTCAGTCAGTCTGCCTGTTCTGTTCCCCACTATGTCTCTGGTGAACCCTTTCACACACACCCCCGCCCCCGCACCTCAGGCCTATACCCCAGCTCTCATATGCATAAAAATAAATAAATCTTTAAAAAAAAAAAAAGAAAATCAGATTTAAATATAACAGAAAGGAATAAATGATGAAAAGATCAGTCTGTTTATGAGCCCAGGCATTAAAGTATTTCAGAGTCCAATGGAAGGGGAGAAGCAGATGATAGAAAAAGCTATAGAATTGAACAAAAGTTACATTTTTACATAATTAAAGAAGACAGGTTTTATTTAAAGAGAAAAGTGATTAACAGGAAATAAGATCTTGAATCCTATAGAAGTATTCTTGTAGAAAATGAGTCTTTCACTCATCCTAAAGTCATTTGATCATCATAAATGTAGTGGGACTACATGGGAATTTTCCAAAGATTATCTCAGAAGGAATGTAATTTAACAAAACCTGAAATATATTGAACTATTGATGAAAATGTCTCTAGGGCATCTTCAGTAACTAAATTCTTTTTTAAAAATTCTTTTTTAAAAATTCATTAGCACTTGTTATTTTATGTGCAAAAACTTCTTTTCAGCAAATAAATTTTGGCAGTTTAAATTCTAGGAAGAGTAATAATGAACATGTCAAATCAATTTAACTTGTTTCAAGAAAAGTCATGTTTTTGAAATCTGTCTTTGCTGCCATCAGGTTTATAAATGACATTTTACAAACCTATCTAAACACATTACTCATGAACTGTCAAGAAATTTTTTTAAAGAAGAGTGAGTTTCTAGATTTTCAAAAAGAATTTTCTTTTAAAACTTTTTTCAAAGCCTGAGGATGAAAAAGAACAATTAAAGAAGTATATGGAATTAAAGCAATCTCTGGAACATAGTTTGGATCAAGAAATGAAGAAAAACAGTGAACTGGAAAAAGAGATTACTGGGTATGGTTTTTGATATTTCGACCATTAATTGACTTAATTTGACTATTAAAACATAAATACAAATTCATTTTATGTTTGTATTTTTATTATTAAAGAAACCCTTTTAAAAAATTACTTCAGAAACTTAGAACACAATCTGAATGCATTAAATATTAAATTAATTCTTTAATGATTTTTTAAACAATAGTGACAATGCCTTTTGCTTAAAACATCAACTACATTCTTCATCTTCTACCTTGAGTTTTTATTTCTGCAAGCTCTGTTCTCTCTGAGAGTCTCTCGTGTTTCAATTACATTCTTCGTTTCAACATTCACATTACTAGATATCTAAGAACTCTGTGTCATTGCTTAACATTCATAATTACCTTGACTTGGCTTATGTATTCTTTCTACTTTTGTTAGTTATAATATGTATCATTATACAAAAATTTATGCATGACTTTCATTTGTTGACATTTTGCTAGCAAGATCGCTCATCTCTTCTTAAATCAGTTTTGGGGAGTCATCATGTATTGCTGCTGTTTGCCTTTCTTCTAAAGCTCTGCTTCTTTTTCCTCTACTCAGGCTTGAAAGATTTTCTCTTTCTATTGAACGTACTCTTCTTATAGATTGATGTCAGTACATTTTACCAAAATGTATTCTGTGTCTCTTAAAAACATTCATCTGTAAACATGATTTCTTCTTCTTGGATACTGATGTCTGTGTTATAGCTAATATTTAATAGTAGGTTAAGTTTTATATTGACATACTAAATATGGATATGAATAATTTATAAGTCTATATAGTTACCACATTAACTTTTTATCTGCCATAAATGTCATAAAATTTTTGTTATTTACAAGAGTATAATTTAGATAGTATGCTTTCAAACAGTGGTAAATGGAGACAAATGAGAGGATCACAATTGATAGATTTGTTTACTTTATATATAGAAGCAACATCTGTTAAATATTTACTTTTAAGAAGTTGATTTATCATTCTGTATATTCCCACAGATTTAAGAAACTCCTAAAAATGTCAAAAAGGAAGTTAAATGAATATGAAAATGGGGAGTTTAGTTTCCATGGAGATTTGAAAACCAATCAAACTGAAATGGATAGTCAGATTAATACGCTAAAAAATAAGGTAATGTGTAATTAGTGTTGATACCCCCAAATCACTTAATTTGGGGAAATATAAGTCATTCAATTCTTGGAGCAGCAAAATAAAGATTTTCCTCTTACTTATATAGACTTGATACTGCTGAAAATATTGTGTTTTGTTTTTTTTTTCCTATGTCATTTCTCTACAAAAAAGGCCTACTGTAGACTTTCTTAGGTCTCAAGCTTTGGCTGGTGATCTGAATCCAGGCAGCACACATCACAGGACCCAAAGCACTAGCACCAAGTTGGGTTTTTGGGTTTGTTTGTTTGTTTGTTTGTTTGTTTGTTGTAATGGCTTTCATTGCAGGTCACGCAAAGTATATGATTCAGTGACTTAGTATATGCAAAGAGTTGTATAGTCATCAACACAATTAATTTTTAGAACGTTTCACCCCCCTAAAAACAAACCTTATACTTATTACCCATCACCCTCAGCCAGTTTCCTCATCTCTCTCCCCAGAAGCCCTTGGAACTACTACTCTGCTCTCTCTCTCTATCTATTTGCTTATTTCAGACATCTGCCGTCAGTGGACTCCCACAATGTTTTCTCTGTGTCTATGAGTTCAAATTTTTTTTTTAGATTCCACATATAAGTAAGATCATATAGTACTTGTCTTTCTTTGTCTAAAATTTCACTTTTGTTTAATGCTTCAAGGGCCAAGCAAGTTGCTGCAGTTGGCAAGATTTCTTTCTTTTTTGTGACTGAGTGCTACTCTGTTGCATATATGCATTTCATCTACTTAATCCATTATCCATTGATGGACTCTTAGGTTGCTTCCATGCCTTGGCTTTTGTAAATATGTTGCACTGGCATGGGCAGTACATTAATTGTTTAAGGTTAGTTTTTTCATTTCCTTCAGATAAATACCCAGAAGTAGTATTACTACATCATTTTTTTAATTTTTTAAAATATTTTGAGATGCCTCCAATTTAGATCCCACCAGCAGTGGACAAGGGTTCCCTTTACTGTGCATGCTGTATAACACCTGATATTTCTTGTCTTCTTGATAGCTTACTGTGCTTTTGATTTCACTTCCCTAATAATTAGTGATGCTGAGCATTCTTTCATGTACCTATTGCCCATCTGTATGTCTTCTTTGGAAAAATGTCTAGTCAGATCCTCTGTCTGTTACTTTTGCTATTGAGTTGGGCAAGTTTGTTATGTACTTTGAATATTCACCTTGTTTTGGATATACGACTTTCAATTTTTTTCTACCATTTGTTAGATTAACTTTTTGATTTATTTATGGATTCCTTCACTATGCAGAAGCTATTTAGTCCCAATTTTGACTTTTGCTTTTGTTACTTTTGCTTTAGTGTCAAGTTAAAAAAAGTCATACCCAAGACCTGTGGCAATGAATGAACTGTGTATGGAATAAAATAGAGGTCCAATTTCTTTCTTTTGCTTGTAGTTGTTCAGTTTTCCCAACACCATCTAGTGAAAAGATTGTATGTTCTTGGCTAGACCCCATTTTTATTATCAATAATGGTGCCAGTTATTTATTCCTGCATAATAAACCGCCTCAAAACCCGTTGGTGTAAGATTTATTTTCTTTGTGTTTATTTTGTTATTGAATGTACAGTTTAGACATGGGTCTCTGCTTGACCTCACTGCAATGCCTTGAGACTGGTGCCTAGAATTAGTATTTAAAGATTTGTTCACACACGTCCGGCCGACTCAGCTAGCTTTTAGCTGGGACGTTGGCCTGGATAATCTCAGCTGAAAGCATTTTTCACAAAGTGACAGCAAGCTTCAGCAAGCTTCTCAGGACAGAAAAAGTCAGGTGGAAGCTGTTTCACATTTTCTAACCTGGCAGTTACAGAACACAGCATTTATGTTACTTGCTTGGTAGCTAGTTACTAAGAATAACCCATATTAAAGTGAAGGAAAGTCATGGGAGAAATGTCAGTCTGTAGACATGTGTAAGAACCGCCATTTACTCTCACCTTTTCTTACCAAAGAACTATTGTATCAACAATAATTACTGTATGTAAAGGAAAGCAGCTCTTCCCAACTCAGTATCATTGAAATTCCATCAAGTTTTTTGTTTTTATTATTTAGCATGGTCCCTTATTTTGTGCAAGTGACAAAGGAATAAAATTTGTAGAGTCTTATTTTCAAAGTTTTATTTTGGGGGCATTTATTGACTCAGGCCTAAAGAATTCAATATAATTATGGGATGTTAAAGTGGGATAAGAGGCCAGAGACTGTCTACTGAGAGGTGACTTAAAATTATTTTGTGAAAGGAAGATAAAGCAATCATAGGAAAGTGTATAAGATCAATTGCAAATGTCACAACAAAGACAATGACAGTAAATATATTTTTGTCACTCTTAGTGGTTTTAACTTTGTTCTTGATTTTCTGAGTTACCACTTGTACTGCTCTAAGATTCTACTTCAGTCTAGATAACATTCTATTGCAACTGAATTTATTTCAAAATTTGATACTGGTTTTGAATCAGACTGTTTTCATTCGGCTTCCTTCACTACCAAAGTTTTTATTTTAATCATGCAGATTGATGATCTTACTGCAAAACTAGAAACTGCATCTTCAAACTATCTACATGTGGATGCAAAAAATCAAGTTCTTCAACAGGAGTTATCATCTATGAAAGCAATGCAAAAGAAATGTGAAAAACTAGAGAGGAACAAAAAGAAGTTGGAACAACAAGTAGTGAACCTCAAAAGTCATATGGAAATGAATATGGTAGAACACTATCAAGTGGAACAGTATAAACGAGAGATTGAAGAAAGAGCAAGGCAGGATATAGTGGAAAAATTAAAAGAAGTTAATCTATTTATACAGGTAATTGGTTGATCTGTGACATGCTTTAATTTCATTTCACTGCATATTACATTTTGGATATGTACACTGTATGCGTTCTCTCTACTTCTGTTATAGCCATTACAGTCATTTCTTTTGTAGATTTCTAGAAGGAAGGTAGCTTTGTTTCTCCCTTTTAGGTATTTCTGTTTCCCAGCATTGGAATCTTGATCTCTCAGCATTATTCTCGTAAGAGAATCATTGTATTATTTTGAGACCAGTTAGTATAAAACAAGAATCTTAGGAAGAAAAGGAAAAAAAGTACCATATTATTATTCTCAAGTTATATTATTCAGTCAAAAAAATTTAAATTGATTGTATTAGTCTTTCAGTTATCTGTTATATGAGAATTAATATAAGAACAATTTAACTATTCTTTATAATTTCTATTTAATTTGGTTGTCATTCATTGATGATAAATATTTTAAACTTAAGCTTTTTATTTATATGTGAAATTATTTTCTAAATCATTGACTCAAAACTTAAGGAAACAAATATAATTATTAAGATTATAATTATTTTTAAAATGTGTTCTTTGATTTGTTTTAGGCACAAGCAGCATCTCAAGAAAACTTAGAACAGTTAAGGGAGAATCATAATGCTTCAATAAGAAGTCAGATGGACCTCAGAATTAAAGATCTGGAATCTGAACTCTCCAAAATGAAAATCTCTCAAGAAGATTCTAATAAAATAGAATTGGAAAAATACAAGCAACTCTACCTAGAAGAATTAAAGGTCAGAAAATCATTAGCAAATCAACTAAACAGGTAAGTCAAAACATAAAATAGTGGAAAATTAATTTAGCTCTTAGGTTTGCCTCCATAGCATAGATTGAATTATAGATTCAAGATTCATGAGATAAGTAGGAAGTGAATACCACATAGTTGACCTGATCTGTTAGCATTTGAGCTAAATATTTTTGAAACTTCATAATTTAGAGAACGATAATGTAAAATTACTTATCAGAATTTCCCTAAAGAGGAATAGTAATGAGTTTATCATGTAGAAGATTATAACTTAAACCAGATGTCCAAATAATAAGAGCATTTTGGCACTTGGTAAATTAACTTTCTTGATTGTGATCTTTGTTGTTATCACTAGAAGATGCCTTAAGACAGACTATCCTTTATAATTTTTCTGCTCTATGTAAAGGCATACATGTAAAATAGGGGAAAGTTATCTTAGGCCTGAAGGGTAGTATAATTCACAAAAGCCGTGGGGGGATCTATGGGTTATAGAAAGGGTAGATCTCACCACCTACACCTTGGTAACCATGTTATGAGCTCGTAGCCTCTGGAGCTGTTTAGTTCTTTTTCATCATCCACCAACCTATGTATTTCTCCCCTAGAGATTGTGTTCTAAATTTATTCCTCAGTGCCAAATGCTTAATTTCTCTGTGGGGATGAATGAAATGAACAAGAGTGGTGCAAGCAAATGCTTGAAAATATTATTGAGGGATTTTTTTTTTTTTATTTCTGAACTGATTTACTAATTATATCTAATGGCATCTTCAAGGAGTTTTCGGGAAGAGAGCAGGTGCTACCTCCCAAGCCATCTCCATCACTCACAGCCCTCCCTATTTTGAGTTATAGGAGTCCTCCTAGAAACATATGTACTTCTTTAGAACAATTTTAAAGCTGTGATTGTAAACAGTAGGTATGCTGCAACACATGCTCATGGTTAAAACACTGTTGAATGGGAAATTCCATTTACTTTTATGGCACCATTTTTCTTAAAAAATGCAAGTTATTTATGAATCAAAGAACAATGAAATACTAACTAATTGTCTTTTGCAATCTTCACAGGACTAATGAGAGGTTAGCAGAGATCAGTACTAAACTTTTTGTGGAGAAACAGCAGAACAAATCTTTACTCAGCTCTCTTACTGTGAGACCAGGCCTGGATCCACATTGTGTGGGAGATCTTAGTAATAGTTTAGTGCTCAATAAACATCTTAGTCCAAGAGAAAACTTAGTGATTTCTCTTTCTACCTCAAACCAGCGGCCTTCAAGTAACAGCATGGAGACTTTCTTGACCAAGGTTAGTTGTAGTATCTTTTTATCCCTGGCTTTCAGATTTCAATACAATACTCCTTTTTAATTTGGTGAAATTCTGAATAATGTATTTGATTTATACACAGTAAGTAAACATCAGTAGTGCTAATAAAGGAGACAGAAATTTTGCAATTTTACATCACATTTTCAAAAATATCCATCTCTAATCTTATTCAATAAATGTAATTTAACTGACACATTTAAATTTTCCTGAAAAGCTGTATTTAATTAGATTTTAGAAATGAAATAGTTATGTCTAAAAACCAGAGGTATACTTTGAAATGCTTTGACATACTGTCTAATTGATTTCATTTTCACTGTGGTTCAAAGCAATTTTAAAGTTTTCCTATACCTGTGCCATACCCGTCCCACCCCACCCCCTACCCTCCACCCCTGACAAATGTTTATGCTTGTTATTTAAAGGAATCCAAGATTAATCCCTTTCATAAATTAAATAAACCTGCAAATTAATTGCAAAAAAAATTAGTTTGTTTTTGAGTTAAATGTTTTGTCATTTTCTTACGTGAGAGTGCATCCTTAATTGCTGTTATGGCATTTTTATCTCAATTGATATAAAATGTCTTTCTGAACACTTGTAGAACATTTTTCAAATAGTTGAATTGAGCAAATACCTGAATGTTTAAAGTGAAGTTCACTTATGTTTCTATATCTGGCAATTCCCTGAATAACTAAGATGACAATGATATGCCATCTTTGAATAGCAACTAGTTTTCATTGTTTTTAAAATATCCATTTCAATCAATGCTTATAGTTTTTATGATGTTTTCCTGATCTTCTTAATGCAGATAAACTTATCCGTAGTATAGGCCTTTGTTTAATGAGTTCTGAACCTTGTATATATTTTTTTAAATATTTATTTATTTATTTATTTATACGAGCACTGGGTACAGTCAGAGGCACAGGAGGGTGGCAGAATTCACCAGAGCCAGAGCGGAGAGTAGAACAGGCAGAATGACGAAGTACACTGCTGAGGGGAGCAGCGGGCGGCAGGAGAGGTCTACGCGCCATGTGGGACCCTCACCCGGAGGCCGGGGATCGTACTGGCGCTGCAGAGGCTGTGGGCAGCTTCGCAACCCAGCGCTCAACTGCTGCACCACTGGGGAGGCCCAACCTTATATTTTTTCTTTTTGGTTTCATGTCATAATGAATCATAAAATGGCAAAATTAAGGCTCTTAGACAGCATTGCAACCAAATAGGGTACAATTAATTTAAAGTTGTGATATTGAACTATTGGATAAAGAAAAAAATAATAAATGTCAAATATTCTTTAAGTTGTTGAGTCTGATACAAAATTAAAATGTTTTCATTATATTTTCATTATATAAATTCTTTACCTTCTTAGCTAATTCCTCAGTATTTAATTTTTAATTAATCACTATTTTATTTTATTTTTAAACAATATTTCTTCTCCCCATCCCCTCAGGTTGAGTACCCATAGAATTTCCTTCCCAAAGGCACCTGTGCACCATCACCACAGTCCCCTGTGCTCCTCCCTCCCTCCCTCACACCCCTCTCCCTCCTCCTCCCCTGCAGTATGTCTCTGGTTTATAATTGTCTAGTTTTGCTCTGTTGTGTTTTGTATTATTATTTTTTTTTACACTGATGTCTTATCTGATTCCTCTATATTCCCGTTATAAGTGAAACCATCCAATATTTTTCTTTTTCCTTCTGGCTTATTTCACTGAGCATAATTCCTTCTAGCTCCATCCACATTGCTGTGAATGGCATGAGTTTATCTTTTTTGATTGCTGAATAATATTCCATTGTGTATCGATACCACATCTTCTTGATCCAGTTACCTATTTTTGGGCCTTTGGGTTGTTTCCAGGTTTTACCTATTGTAAATAGTGCTGCAATAAACATAGGTGTACAGGTATTCTTTTGAAACGATGTTTTTGTGTCCTTTGGGTAGATCCCTAGTAGTGGAATTGCTGGGTTGTATGGTAGCTCCATTTTTTTTTTTTAATTTTTTTTATCATTTTTTCTTTTCTTTTTTTTTTAAAGATTTTATTTTATTTATTTATACAAGCACTGGGTACAGTCAGAAGAATGGGAGGGTGAGAGAATTCACCAGAGCCAGAGCAAGAAGCAGAGCAGAGCAGGCAATACACTGCTGAGGGGAGCAGCGAGCATCAGGAGAGGTCTGTGCGCCATGTGGGACTCTCGCTCAGTGGCTGGGGATTGAGCCGGTGCTGCAGAGGCTGCGGGCAGCTTCACAACCCAGCGCTCAACCACTGCGCCACTGGGGAGGCCCGGTAGCTCCATTTTTAGTAGACTGAGGAACCTCCAGACAGCTTTCCACAATGATTGGACCAGTTTGCACTCCTACCATCAATGCAGAAGAGTTCCTTTTTCACCACATCCTCGCCAACATTAGTTGTTGGCTTGTTTTTTTGATATGTGCCATTCTTACTGGTGTAAGGTGGTATCTCAGTGTGGTTTTGATTTGCATTTCCCTGATTATAAGGGATGTTAAACATTTTTTTCATGTCTGTTGGCCATTTGCATTTCCTCATTGAGAAATGTCTTTTGAGTTCTTCTGCCCATTTCTTGACTGGATTGTTTATTTTGTGTTTGTTGAGCCGTGTGAGTTCTTTATATATCATTGTGATCAGTCCCTTATCAGTTGGATGGAGTGCAAAGATTTTTTTCCCAATCAGTGGGGTGTCTCTCTGTTTTGGTTAATGTCTCTTTTGCTGTGCAGAAGATTTCAGTTTGATGTAATCCCAGGTGTTTGTCTTTGCCTTCACTATCACTGCTTTGGGTGATGAGTATTTAAAGGAGTTTCTGAGATGTATGTCTTGTAGTGTTTTACCTTATTTTCTTCTAGATATTTTATGGTTTCAGTTCTCATGTCCAGTTCTTTTCTCCATTTTGAGTTGATTTTTTATGCATGGTGAAAGGTGGTGTCTAGTTTCATTTTTTTTGCATGTGGTGGTCCAGTTTTCCCAGCACCATTTATTGAGCAAACTGTCCGCGTTCCACTGCATAGTCTGCTCCTTTGTCAAAGATTAGTTGTCCATATAAGTGTGGTTTTATTTCTGGGCTCTCTATTCGGTTCCATTGGTCTATGTGTCTGTTTTTGTTCCAATACCAAACTGTTTTAATTATTATGGCTTTGTAGTATTGCTTGAAGTTTGGAAGTGTGACACCTCCTTTCTCCTTTGTTTTCATCAGTAGGGCTTTGGCTATTCGTGGTTTTTTGTGGTTGCATATGAATTTCATCAGTATTTGTTCTATTTCTTTGAAGAATGTCATTGAGCTTTTTATTGGAATAGCATTGAATCTGTATATTGCTTTTGGGAGGATGGCCATTTTAAAAATGTTGATTCTTCCAATCCATGAGCAGGGGATGTCTTTCCATTTCTTTGTGTCGTCTTCAACTTCTTTTAACAGTGTTTTATAATTTTCTTTGTACAGGTCTTTCACCTCTTTTGTTAGGTGTATTCCCAAGTATTTGATTTTTTTGTTTCAATTATAAAAGGGATGGTTACCTTGATTTCTTCTTCTTCCAATTGATTGATTGTGTATAGGAAGTCTACTGATTTTTGCTTGTTAATTTTGTATCCTGATACTTCACTGAACTGGTTGATTATTTTGAGTAGTTTTTCTGAGGAGTTTTTAGGGTTCTCTATGGATATTATCATATTTTCTGCAAATAGTGATAGTTTGACTTCTTCCTTGCCTATTTGGATTGTTTGTATGTCTTTCTCTTGTCTTATTGCCCTGGCTAGGACCTCCAGTATTATATTGAAGAGCAGTGGTAAGAGAGGACATCCTTGTCTTATCCCTGATCTTAGAGGAAAGGCCTTCAGCTTTTCGCCATTGAGAATAATGTTGGAGTGGGTTTATCGTATATGGCTTTTATTATGTTAAGGTATGTTCCTTCTATCCTGAGAACTTCAAGGGCCTTCATAATAAATGGATGTTGGACTTTGCCGAATGCTTTCTCATCATCTCTTGATATGCTCATACGGTTTTTATTTTTCTTTTTGTTGTTGTGTTGGATTACACTGATTTTCATATGTTGAACCATCCTTATGCCCCTGGGATGAATCCCACTTGATCATGGTGTACTCTCTCTTTGATGCATTGTTAGATTCTGTTGGCAAGGATTTTGTTGAGGATTTTTGCATCAGTGTTGATTAGGGAGATGGGCCTGTAATTTTCTTTTTTTTGTGCTGTCTTTGTTTGGTTTTAGTATTAGTGTAATATTGGCTTTGTAGAACGTATTTGTTAGTATTCCTTCTTTTTCAATTTTTTGAAAGCGTTTGTGTAGGATAGGCACTAATTCACTGTTGAACTTTTGGTAGAATTCATTTGTGAAGCCGTCTGGACCTGGGCTTTTGTTTTTGGGGAGTGCTTTGATTACTGCCTCAATTTCGCTGCTTGTAATTGGTTTGTTTAGTTGTTCTATTTCTTTGTCTAATTTTGGATGATTATATCATGCTAGGAATTTGTCCATCTCTTCTAGGTTATTGAATTTGTTTGCATATAAGTGTTCATAGTAATCTCTGATTATTCTTTTGATTTCTGAGTCTTTTGTGATTTCTCCAATATTTAATTTTTTTGATGATTGTAAATAATACTACTACATTGGTAGTTCCTAATGTTTTAATGGTAATATAAAATTCTTTTAAAAAGACTTCTGCCATCTCGTATCAATTTCTTAATCCAATAAGATTTATCTAGTGATGATGTCACATTATTCATTTCATAATGCTTTTGTCAAAAAAATGTTATGAAAGATTGTCTCTAAATATTGGAAAATATGTCTAGGCAAAAAAATCTGTCTACACAAAGTTTGTAAAAGCACTGGATATCATGTTTTCTGTATTATCACAGTGGTTTTATGTTCAGGGTCACTATTGTAGACCCTGTCTTAAATAATTATGAGTCTGTTTTTTATATATGATAGATTTTGATAAGAAACCCTTATATGTGAATGATTTTAATAACACCCTAGACAGCTTAGGGTCATTTGTAGTATAGTTCAAGATATCCCCTTATATTTCATGATTCCATAGCTAATAGGATTATGATTAGTCAATGTGTCAAAAATTAACCCTAATTGCTAGAGGAGACAAAGTTACAATTAAAGGGAGTTATATATTGTTTTTTCTTGTTTCTAATTCTAGAAAGTCATGAAAGTGAAGCTATGTTTGAAAGCTGACACTAGCCTATATTTTTCCTTTTTTCAAACACATTTTCTTAAATCTTTGCATTCATAAGCATAAGGAAATGTTTCCGTCTAATCCAGAGAACAAAATAGATTTTGGGTTTTTTTTGCCAGGACTTTCACATGACATGATGACAGTACTGCTTTATTTTTATATTTAAGACTGTGCTGAAAAAATTAAAAACAGAACAGACCTTAAGATTTTAATATTTTCAGTGTGGAGAATGGAAAGTTCATTTTAAGGAAAAGTCCATTAAAGTAAAAAAAAGTGAATTTTTTCAAAGGGTAGTTTTTCAAAGAATTGCAAAATAATGCTTTCACTATAAAACTGACTTTTGCTTAGAATTGGTCTGCCATTAAAGAATGTGCAACAGTATATATGCAGTGGGCCAATACTAATTATACTTTCTATCAGATCAATCTAAATAGCATTGTGTAATTATGTCCTGTTTCTAAAATTAATTAAAATTAATAGGAATTTATTTTATTTATAGGATTATTTTTTCTACTTAAGCAACCCACTAGTTTTGTCTCTAGAAATATTATTTAAAACGCACATTTCATAAGCTATGTATCATTCCTACAATAATGTCTCTTGATCCTTAATCATTATAAATAATATTGGGCTTATTTCAGATGCAGCAGGAGTTGGAAAAAAATATAACTAGAGAACTAGAAGAAGGTATGTACCCGAAATTTATAAGTTACTTTAGATATCATTGCTTTCTGAAATAAACTGTAAGAACTAAGTCAACCCTTTTCATTGTTTGGATAGTGAATAACTAAATATTGTTTCTTATCCATATTGAATAAAATGTGAAAGTGTAAACATTCATGATACAAAATATTCTTAACCCACACTTATGCATCATGTTCTATAGCTTTTAAAATTCTGAAAATAACAGTTTTGAATTTTTCAGTTTTGAATATCTGACTGTCCTCTTCCTTCACTTTGCCATCCCCTAAAAAGTCGGTCTGCATATAAACTCTTCTCTGGAAGCATGAACTTCATCAGCTTGTGAACTACCAGAGGGTAGTGATATTAAGGCCAAACACTATCACTTGACAAGTGACATTTAAATCACCAGTCATTGACTTTGTCATTGTTTTACATTTGACCCTCAGGAAAATTTTCAAAATCCTTAGCATAGAATAAAATCACAGCTACATCACCTTGGTTCTTGCTAAATTATACAGCCTATCTCTTGCTGCTATTTATACTTTTGCTCTTTAACATCTGACAGAACTAGACCACTTATAACACCACGTATACTAGCTCTTTGCATATGCATCTTCCCTGCATCTGGCATACTCTTTGTATCAGTGAGGTATCACCATCAAAGCCATAATATTGTCATAAAACTGGAATGACCCTTCTGTGTGTTCCAGTAGTGCCCTGTATTGCACCTATCTTGGTATATGTGATTCATGGCAATTGCCTGTTTGTTTCTTTTTCTAGTTGACAGTGTATGTCTGCTGAGGGTGGGTTGTGTCATGCCACTTTGTAAGTTACTTAATTACAAAGCCTTTTAGCTAAAGAATATAATTCTTGAATGAGCCCAGAGGGGGAACGGGCATCCAAGGCTGGGGCAGACCAAGTGTGCAGGAAAGTGCACCTCCGACTTGCCATTTTAGAACAAGGACCTTCCTTCAATAAAGACTGCTTGAAACTGGGAGAAGGCTCCCTGCACAGCCAGAGGTGAGCTGAAGGACCACAAGCCTGGTCCCACCTGGCAGGGAGTTGGAGCCTAGAGGGGGATCCAGTGATTTGGAGCCCAGGGTGCAATCTAGCTGCCCCACCTCCGGGGAAGTCTGTGGGGCTTCAAGACACACCTTTGGAATTAAACAAACACAGAAGGAGGAGATATTCTGTGACAGCGACCATTAATATACTCAAAGTACTACTGCCTCACTGGACTTCTGGCATAACAGTATTTGACTCCATTGGACCGCCAGTATCCGAAATCCCAGAAAGAGCACACCAAAAAGATGCCGGCCAGTACTAGCAACACAGTGTCCCAATGCATAGGACAAATTAGAAAAAAGGCAGCAGGGAAAAGAAAAACTACATGCAGCCTAGCAACTCCTCAGGAAAAAGACACACCACAAAAAGAAAACCACCCACCAGATTGCAATGACAGTGACTTGGAAGAACTACTGAGCCTTCCAGAAAGAGAATTTAAAATTGTTGTGATGAAAAAACTGACAGAAGTCATTCAGGAAAATAACACTCAGAAGAATAAAATTGAGTCCATGAAGAGAGAAGTGAAGGAAATGCAGGAGATCAAAGGATTAATGGAAGAGCTAAAAAATGATGGGAAAAGCAGTGATAACAGAATAGATGAAATGGAAGACCAATTAAGCACTCTCGAAGACACAGAAATAAAAAGAACCAAAACAGAAAAGGAAAGAGAAGAGAAAAGGAGAAAAGAGATAAGGAAAGAGAGGTATGAAAAAGACTGAAGAACGACTTCGGGAACTATCTGACTCCATGAGGAAAGGAAATATAAGAGTTACAGGAATCAGAGAAGGAGAGGAGAGAGACCTAGGAACAGAGAAAATGTTCAAGGAAATAATTGAAGAGAACTTCCCAAACATGAAGAAGGAAGAAGAACACCAAACTTCCAAGACGAAAGGAAAAATACAGCAAGACACAAAACAGTAAAGCTCCCAAGAATCCAAGACAAGGAAAAAATGATGAAGCTGACAAGAGGTAAGAAACAGATAACATACAAAGGAAAACCAATCAGACTGACATCAGACTTCTCTGAAGTAACTCTACAGGCAAGGAGAGAGTGGAGGGACATAGTGAACAGACTCCAAGACAAATGCCAACCAAGAATACTCTATCCTGCAAAGCTTTCCTTCCTCTATGAGGAAGAATAAGGACCTTCCCAAAAGAAACTCTGGAATTTCATTATGACTAAACCCCCACTCCAAAAAATACTACAAGGAGTCCGAAAGCCAGAACAAACAGAGGGGTGAATAACAATGAAACAAAGCCAAAAAAAAGTTATTAAAAGAGTAAATAAATAAAATCAGAGGAAACACAAACACAATGGCAAATACAGATGCTAACATATCAATATTTACTCTAAATGTAAATGGACTAAACTCTTCAATTAAAAGACACAGAGTCGCAGGCTGGATTAAGAAACAAAACCCAAACTTTTGCTGTCTCCAGGAAAAACATTTAACTACAAAAGATAAAAATAGACTCAAAGTTAAAGGATGGAAAACAATCCTATAAGCAAATGTACCTAAAAAGAAGGCAGGAACAGCTCTACTTATATCAGATAAAACATTTCGAACTCAAAAAAGTAAGAGACCCCAACAGTCACTACATTATGATCAAGGGAACAATTCTTCAAGAAGAAAGAACACTCATTAACATATACTCACCAAATGAAGGAGAACCAAAATATATCAGACAACTATTATTATCTCTGAAAACAGACATCAGAGAAAACACATATGTAGTAGGAGACTTCAGCGCACCATTATCAACAATGGATAGGTCAACGAGACAGAAAATAAGTAAGCACAAGAAAGCTCTAAATAAGGATCTAGAGCTCATGTGCAAAACAGACATCTATAGAACACTAAACCCCAAAAAAATCTGATTACACATTTTTCTCAAGCGCACACGGATCATTCTCCAGGATCAATCACAAACTGGGACACAAGACAAACATCAACAGATACACCAAGATTGAAATCATACGACCATCTTCTCTGACCATGAAGGCATCAAACTAGAAATAAACCATAAAAAGAAAAAGGCAAGGGACTCTCCTACCTCATGGAGATTGAAACCCACACTACTGGAAGGCCACTGGACTAATGAGGAGATCAAAGAAGAAATTAAAAAATACTTTGAGTTGAATGACAAGGAGGACACCAATTTCCTAAACATATGGGACATAGCAAAAGCAGTGATTAGAGGAAACTATATAGCAATAGAGACTCACATCAAGAAACAAGAAAGAACTCAAACAACCTAATCTCAAAGCTCAAAGAACTAGAAAAAGGACAACAAAAAAACCCAAAACCAATAGAAGAAAAGAAATAATAAAAATCAAAGCAGAAATAAATGAAATCAAAACTAAAAAAAAAAAATCCAAAAGATCAATGAAACCAAAAGCTGGTTCTTCAAAAAAATAAATAAAATAGACAAACTCCTCGCCAGGCTACAAAGGAAAAACGGGAGAAAGCACAAATAAATATGATCACAAATGAAAGATGAGAAATCACAAAGGACAGAGCAGAAATCAAAAGAAAAATCAGAAACTACTTGAACAGTTATATGTAAACATGTTCAACAATCTAGAAGAGATGGACAAATTCCTACAACTCTACAATCACTCAAAGCTATATAAAGAAGAAATAGAACACCTAAACAGACCAATTACAAACAGCGAAATTGAAATGGTAATCAAAAACCTCCCCAAAAATAGAAGCCCAGGACCTGATGGATTTACAAATGAATTCTACCAAACATTCAGAAACGAATTAGTGCCTATCCTTCACAAACTCTTTCAAAAAATTGAAAGGGCAGGTATAACACCAAACATGTTCTATGAAGCCAACATTACTCTAATACCAAAACCAAACAAAGGACAACACAAAAAAAGAAAACTACAGGCCTATATCTCTAATGAAGATGGATGCAAAAATCCTCAATAAAATTTTAGCTATCAGAATCCAACAATGTATCCATAAGATAATTCACCACGACCAAGTAGGATTTATTCCAGGGACACAGGGATGGTTCAACATCCAAAAATCAATCAGTGTTATCCAACACATCAGCAAAAAGAAATATAAAAACCATATGATAATATCAATAGATGCTGAGAAAGTTTTCAACAAAGTACAACACCCATTTATGATAAAGGCCCTTGAAATTCTTGGGATACAAGGACTATACCTCAACATCATAAAGGCCATATATGACAACCCATAGCCAGTATCATTCTCAATGGCGAAAAGCTGAAAGCATTTCCATTAAGATCTAGAACAAGACAAGAATGTCCACTCTCACCACTGCTTTTCAGTATAATACTGGAAGTCCTAAGCAGAACAATAAGACAAGAGAAAGACATACAAGGAATCCAAATAGGAAAAGAAGAAGTTAAACTATCACTATTTGCAGATGATATGATAATATACACAGAGAACCCCAAAAACTCCACAGAAAAACTAATTAAACTAATCAGTTTAGTAAAGTGGCAGGATACAAAATCAACACACAAAATCAGTAGCCTTCCTATAGACAAACAATAAATCTGAAGAAGTCAAAAAAAAAATAACCATCCCTTTTATTATTGAAACAAAAAAATCAAATACTTGGGAATAAACCTAACAAAAGAGGTGAAGGACCTATACAAAGAAAACTATAAAACACTGTTAAAAGAAATAGAAGAAGACACAAAGAAATGGAAAGACATCCCTACTCATGGATTTGAAGAAATAACATTATTAAAAAGGCCATCCTACCAAAAGCAATTTACAAATTCAGTGCTATTCCAATAAAAATTTCAATGACATTCTTCAAAGAAATAAGACAATTTTTGATGAAGTTCATACTGAATTACCAAAAACCCCAAATAGCCAAAGCTCTCCTGAAAAAAAAGAAGGGAATGGAGGTATCAGACTCCCAGACTTCAAATTATACTACAA